TAATTGAATGCCACTTTGGAAGGTGATTGAAAAATAGAATGTCCGGGCATTCTATTAGAGGAAATAAGGTAGTCTAACCCTCTACTAGACACTTACTAAGATATACACAATACTAGCTAACCTCAATTTAGGAAACATTAAGCAATCTAAGGAATACAATCTATTTAAGATATACCCTCATTATAAGGTTAGATTCTTTTATTACCCCAAGAAGTGTCATTTTATCCGTAATAAATTAAAAATTTTTTTAATTTTCAACCCCCCCTCCAAATATAACAATCATTTCATTTCTTTATTAAACATAAAAAATATTTAGTACCTCTTCCAAAATTGAAGAACCATAAAGTTCAATAATTCGACAATATTGTACAAAATTATCCTTATCTGTTTAAATAAAAAATAAATTATTTTCCGCAAAATAATAGTTTACCAATTGTTGATGCCATAAATTGTTCGCATTTAATTTTTAAATTGGTAATTTGATATTTGTGGGAAATTGCAAATAAATCAACACATAAGCCTTCCATCGTAGCTTAAAATTAATTAATCATTTAATTAAGGAAAAAATAAGGGATATTTAGGCTACCCTAAAAAAAGGAATTGTGGTGTAACGAAAAACATTAGACATCACTTATTGGGGAACTGTGGTTCCAGGGTTATTCGAATATACCAAAAAATGTCTTATATAAAATTACTAATTTAAATAAAAATATTAAAACAGTACATTTGGAAACATTGCCAGTATAACAAAATTCCAACATTCCTTTAAAAGTTTCTGAAGAGCAATCACTAATTTTTACAATTCCCTAAAATTTTTGAAAAAATTTTCAAATTTATCTTTGTTATTTAATTAATATTTTTAAACCTACAGTTTGGGCTTCCAGCATTTCGTTTTGATCAAACATGGCATTGAAAACTTCACTGTTTTCACTTAAAACACATCTGTGAGCTTTTATTAGCTCGCTTCCTATCTGAAAAGTTAAAAAGGTGAAATTCGTGTTTTGTGTTAGCCCTTAAATGAAGATGGCATCAAAATTCAATTTGGCCGGACGAATTCAATCTTTTTCAAAAATTCGTTTATTTATTTTTCAAAGTTTCTCATGCTACATTCTCAACGAAAATCACGCGCACTTGTGACAGAAGTAATGGAAAAGAGGAGACAAAAGTTGTGCGCGATTTTTAAAAAAAAAGCCGGTTTTCTAACAACAAATTAAATTTGGCCGGACAAATTCAATAAGAGGACATATTTACCTGAATAACACAATCTGGAAATTTTTCTTTCAACAAAATATTTTTGTAAATATTTATAATATAAGAATTATCATTTTCATTAGAATCCGTTTCGTCAGGCAACAGGTGTTCGACTTCGCAAACAATTTTTATTGAACCTGAAAATTTTTTAAAATTGTCTAAAATAAATAGAGCCTAATATATTTCGATCAACAAAAAATGACTTTTTCGGGTATCTGAAAATCACCCAACAACCCTCGTTCTCTCTAGACTATCAACTAATTGATCCTCTTCCTTATTGGTAATCATCTTCCCTCAAACCATCCTCCTACTTCCCCCTCAGTCTCACTTTTCCGAATAAAAAAAATTAATTACCATCCGCTAACAGAGAATTAAGCATATTTATATTTAATCTAATAGATTCACTCATATTCTTAAAATCCTCAGTAAATCTTAAAAGCAAATTAAAAAATTTAAATTAAGAAAATATTTTTTAATGCCTTCCAATTTCTTTATTTATTCCACTCGTCTGTATTGCATTGAAATAGTAGGCAGCTCTAACTACACATTCATCTTCACTTATTAATCCAACTCGAATTAGTGAAATGTAAACATCTTCAAAAATAAAAATTTAATTCCAAACAAATTTAAATATACAGCAACACTCATTAAAAGATACCCCTTTTAGGGCAGAAAAAGATCGGTACTTTATATTGCAACTTAAATATAAGTAAAGCTTAGACATCTCCCACATCTAGTGGTCAACCAAAATTTAAAAACCGTATCTTAAATAGAGGTTATCTAATTTTTGGGGGTATCTTATAGTGAGTGTAATTTAAGAAAAAGGAATTTAAAAATAATTTAAATTTCACCTCCAGGAGACACGCCATGGTAACCATTAGGGTAAATTCGTAATTTCCAAATTATAGAAGGCATTTTCTGACTATAAAAAGCACAACCTAAAATTGAGAGAAATATTTTTATTAATAAAAGATTTTGGTATAAGTTTTAGTTAAAATTTTTTGGTCATAACTCGATAATGTTGTAAGACAGGAGTTGAGGTCATGAGTTCGATACCGTGCGGGGAAATTTTTTATTTACTGAAAAAACTCTCCACTTTTTTTAATCAAAATAATTAAATTGGTAATAGTGAAGATTACTGGTCCTTGGAAAAAAAGTAAAAAGTGCTTTTTTGATGTTTCTGATGCTTACGATTAGGTAATCGAGTGTGCTTAGCAGGGACTGCAGATTGTTGATGCAGATTTTTAACATTTTTACGCAATTTTTCCAAATTTCACATTCAAAAGAGCTAGTTGAGCCAAGCGGAATGACATCAAAATGGACGAAATCTAACTTAATTTGACAAAATTATAACCGTATCTAGTACAATCAACTACCTAATGTCAAGCTACAGAAATATCAACAGAGCGGGGAGACTAATAATCTTCACTATTACCCCAATAAATTCAAAAAAATTTTACAAAATTTCAAAAAAACCTACTAGATTTAAAATCTCCGCATTTTGTAAGCTTTGTAAGCCTGTTGATATTATTTATTTTCCAAACAATTTTTGAATTAATAACTTCAATCTAAATATAAAAAATAAAAAGAATTGAATAATTAAATTTACATCAGTTGTGTCATTAAACATTATTAATTGAAAATGTTGATCGAAAGAGCAGGAAATAATTAAATAATTAAAATAATTAAATAATATTTTTGTGTGTTTTCTTAAAATTTAACAAAAAATTTATATAAATATTTAGATTAGAATTGAGAATTTTAAAAATAATTAGAATGGAAAATGAAGCTGGAAAATACTTTAATGGGACAAGGAAAACTAAAAAAACCTGAACAGAGCTGTTTCAAATTTCGATTTTAGAGGGTTTTTTCCCTCGATTTTCAAATTTTCGAAAAAAATTTTATTTTTTTTGGCGCCAAAAAATGAATATTTTTGGCTCCTTGGACTTCCAAAACTCTCAAAATTTTCGCCGCCTCCGGCGCAAAAAGCAAGGAATTTGCATTAGGTTTAATCCACCGATATCCTCAGAAATACCCCGACGTCTCGCATAATTCAATCAAATTCTCTAATATCCCTCTTAATCCACCCACCGGCCCGGAACCAGTGCCAAAATTTTAGATGCCCTTTGCCAAGATTTGAAAAAGTCGGAGCCGGTGCCTCTTAATCCACCCACTAATTCGTCCAATGCAAAAATTTGTCCCAAATCAAAATTCCAAGAGTAAAAATACTTAATTCGCCTACTATAAATTAAAAATGAAAATCTCTTCTTATCATGCAACTCGCTAGTCATTAACTCAAAATTTCGAGAATTTTGGAAAGCCAAAAAGCCAGATCCAAGCCAAGAAGTCGGTCCACAAATTTGTTTAGAAACTACTAGAATGTAGGGCCGACAATAATATACATATTTTAAAAATGTTTTTAAATCTCCAAAAAATTAAAGGAAAATAAAAAGAAAAATAATAAAATTATAAATTTGAAAAGCAAAAACAAAAGTGTCTTTCTATGTCTTCTATATTATCTATAAAATAAATATACACTATGCCAAAAATTAAATATACACAATTCAAACGAATTCAAAATTTAAAAATTTCTACAAGAGGAAAGATAACAATTTTGGGTAAATGTTAAATTTATTTTTAGGAAGTTCTAATTCTATGTTAGAGAAAACTTTAAAGTTGGTTGTGTGATTAACTCAATAGTCAATTGGATAATGTGCTTATTTACTTTATTTTAGGTAATCTCTTTATTGAAGGCATTTTATTTTGTTTTCCCTAACATTCTTCTTCTAACACCACAACATTTAACATTAATCTTTAGGATTTTCAAATGGATAAGTATCCAGATTTTCTTCGTTTTTAGCGCCTCGGGCGAAATTTTTGAAAATTTAAGATGCCAAAAGCATGGAAACTTAACTTTTTCATTGCCGCATGTGAAAATTTTGAGTTTTTAAATGTCAAATTAATTGATACAATTTAAATTAAAAATTCTAATATTTTGTTTAGGAATTCTTGAAAATTTTGTAAAAGTTCGCAACGTGCGCAGTCAAATCAACTAAGCAGTCTAAGCAACAGTCTAATCAAATTTTGAGTGTTTTTGCTGCTATAAATTAATTATAATTATTTAATTTTTCTTTTTATTTAAAAATTCCCCCAATTTTCCAGTAAAAATAAAAATTTTCAAGTTTTATTTTCCTAATTTTTCTTTTTATTTAAGAAGCATTGAAGAAGATTAATTTTATTGAAGCGTCGAAAGGTCAAAACTGCCGCCATTTCCTTTTTTCTATTGTCTGTCACTTTTATAGTCAATTGCTTTTATCAAGCTCTTCATTTGTGGTAATAAAATAAAAGGAAAAACATGGAAAAGTGGCAAAAGCAAATAAAAAAGCCTTCCCCCCCCCCCCTCCCCTCCCATTTTATTAGTCAAACTATCAAATTGCTCTTTATATTCCCTAAAGTAGTTTTTGGAGGGAAATTCCATTTTATATATTAGCAAAAAGGTTTAGACTAGAAAATACCACACAGAGGCTTTAAAAAATTAAATGTCAAATTAAAAGGACAAAGGAAGAAAAGCTTGACGACTCGATTCAATAGAAAATAAAGCCTAATTCTACCGAGTCGAACTTTCAAGTCATTCTAGTTAAATATTCGGTGCTTAACTCAATCCTTTTGAGGCCATCTAACCACCCTAGAGGTAAATATCGGGTTCTATTTACTTAAGTATGCCAAAAAATAGTCATTTTTTTATTTTTTCAAACCATCATTCCAAAATAAGGATTAATTAAATTTAAATTTGTTGAGGACATTTGGTTATTTTGTTTTTTATTATTTTGTTCTTTCCTCCCTTCATTTATTTTAATATTTTTTTGTGTTTTTTCTTCTTCAGAAAATTCATCCCCTCCATTTCTTCTTCCCCCACCTTCATTCTTTATTGAAATTCTTTGTTTTTTGTTTTGATAACCGATATTATTGAAATGCCCTCCTTCAATATCTTCATCTTCCTCATCTTCCTCATCTTCTTCATCCCCAACTTTTTCCAAGTGAGCAGCTGCTTCTATACTCTTTTTATGCATCCCTTTTGAAAAAAAAACTTTTTAAATTTATTCGACGTCACTATTGGGCTGCAAAAGAATATTTAAATTTTAATGGGGATATTAATTAGAAGAGTTGAAATTAAGTAAAATGCCTAATTCGGTTTTCGGATTAAAAAACATTTTTTTGTCCGGAACAGATTTTCCTGATCAAAATCCTTTTTTATTCAAAATACCAGGATTACGGACTACCAGACCCGGAAAATCCGAATCCGTTTCGGGTTTCAACTTTATTAAATAGAGGTATCCTTGAGAGGTATCATATTTCCCTCCCCCAGTTGCCAGCCTAAATATAACTTGTATAAGTATCTTATTGTGTTTTGTGTGTATTTTTACCTAATAACCAAGGTGCAACAGATCCATCAGGATCGTTTTGACACTTTGTTATTGTTTCCGGTAGAGGTAGTTGATGTCTAACCATTGCACCATACAAGCCATATCTTTAATTGGGAGGATTTAAAAAATCGAAAAATATTTACTCTGCCATTGTTGTACACGGTCCCCAAGTTTTATCAATCTTTCGGCGTTTTGCTCTTCTATTTTGAAACCATACCTGTTTTTAGAGCAAAATAAATACTCCACAATTTAAAATTAACCTGAATTCTGTCTTCGGAAAGTTTTGTTCTTTGAGAAAGTTCTTCCCTCATTGGAACATTTGGATAACGATGAACGGCGAAGAGACTTTCCAATTCAACTTAAAAAAGAATTTTTATATCTGACTTCGTTATACGGTCCTTTATTCTGATAATGAGGTTATATCTTGAATAGAGGATATTGCTTAGGCAGCCCCCTCCATCTAGTAGATACCAACTAAATTTTAGAGAACTTTTCTTAAATTGAGGTTTATCTACTAGATGAGGATCTCATTTTTCAATACTCTCACAAAAGACAAACTCTCTCTACAAAAGAGGTGTCATTTAAGTGAAATCTACTCATTGTTTGGTCGACTATATCTACCTAAATTAATTTAATTTTAAATATTGCCTGATGGGTATTTTTAAATAATTTTAATTTTAGATACCTTATTTTTAAATTCAATTTTTTAAATTTTAATATCCAAAGGGTATTTCTACAAGATCTGACAACATTTCTCTAAATGTTCCCTCGTTTGTTTTACAACATATGTATTCCTCAATATCTTTCTAAGTACTTACATATTTGTTCTTGTGAGAAAATAGTACGGTGTCTTCTCTTTCTTTTCTTTTTAACACAAATCCCCTGTGTTTCCTGTAAATTATTTGTTGTTAATTTATTTACATGTTTTTTAATATCATTTGAGGATTTTGTATATTTTTGTTGTGTTCGGGTACCAAATAAAATATTCTGAGTTGTTGAGGTTGTCGACAATTCATTTGATCCGAAACAAGCAATATCCTCATTGTTATAAATTGTTTGTTGTTGTTGGGGGTTGAGAGGAGGGTAAAAACTTCGTAAAAATGGATTTCCGTTTCCATCTGTTAAATTATTCATTTAGTATTTATTTAATCTCTAAAAACAAATGAGGGCTTTTAAAAATTTACATTTTCGATTATATAACGAAACTCAGTTTTATGTGCACCTCAATTTAGAATGTGGAATCTCTCATAACGACACTCCTATAACAATAAATTTTTCGTCGTAGGAAGGAAAATAACATAGAAGCAGTGCTGGGTATTTGCCATTTGTTGGCTCTTGGCTCAGAGCCTTCAAAATCTTGGCTCTGGGATCCGGAGCTAGCTCCCGGAGCCATACCCAGCACTACTTAGGAGGAGAGAGGTCGTTAAATTAATCAAAATAAAAAGTTTTTTAAAGAAATTACAGTTTTCCTCTCCCCCAACATTTCCACCTCCTCCCCCACCAAGTAACAAACATCCAGCAGCATAATCTACAGCTCCGTTAAATTCCTGCATTCCAGGCATTAATTCTAGCCCTTGAAAAAGGGCTTGCTGTTGATCAATAAACGCTGATGATTGGCAATAAAGAGATGAAGAAGTTGTTGAGGGAAAGGGAAGAAAACAGCTACTAGTTGCTGATGTCGTTGATGAGGAGGAATTTTGGATTTGATTGGCAGTTAGTGGCTTAATTAAATAGTTAAAGTTTATTTAGATTTTTTTAAACTGTCTAAACTGTCTAGTCACTGGTTGGGGGAGTTTACCCTTATTATTGTGTAAGATACTCTTATAAAGATACACCCAATTTAAGATACCTCCTCCCCCCCCCCTTCCGCCTCTCATGAGATACAATTTTTCAGTACTGGGTATTTATATAAAAATGTGATTTGTCTATAAAATAAAACATAAAGGAAAAACATAAAATAAAAATTTACATCACAATTTGTCGCAACCAAGCCTAACAATTCCTGTATGGCAAAAGGAGTACGGGCAGCAGCATACCCATTAAGCATGAATTGTTGAGCTGCTACCTGCATTGCTGCATCGTTTTGCTGTTTTGAATTGTTTAAATTAAATTGTGTTATTAAATTCTGGTTTTTAATGTTTAAAGTAAATTCTGATTTTAAAGAAATACATCCAAAATCATTAATTTATTTAAAATCTCCAGAATTTAACTACTACCTTATTTATTCCAACTTACTATAAAAACATATTTAAATATTACATTATTAGCTTCAACTTCTGTTTGTTGCTCCTCTTGCCGGCCAACAATCAAAGATGATGAATTTGTTGTTTCTCTGTTTATGTTTAGTGAAGTAGGACAGTGAAATCTATTATTTGTTAACATTTTTGAAAGAATTTTTTCAGAAAAACAAATTTAATTTCCTTTAAAGTAAATATTTTTGTGTAAATATTTTTGAGGTTTTGAGGGGGTAATTTAATTTTAAGAATGATACATATAGAAAAAATATTTTAATTGTCCTAAAAATTAAAAACTTTAGTAAACTTTAATTAATTCCTTATTTAATTTACGTTTATTATATTGGCACTTATGTATGTTATTTGGATATTTATTTGTTAAATATTGTCCTTCCCGATTAAAAAAAATTGTCCTTCCCGACTTCCGACACTTAGCCTATTAATAATCACCTAATAATAAATTTCAATAAAAATAGAAATTTTTATTGAAGAAGGGAACAAAATTACAGTAAAATAGGAAGAAATAAATTAACAAGAAAAATTTAATAAAGCTATTTTCATCCTTAAATGGACTCAAATAAATTGGCAAGAAAATAAAAATAAATACTAACTCTTCCCCTCAATACAGTAAAAAACGTTAAAAAGGGAGGGACTTGTGTAATGTTGGAGAAAAATAAAAGAAAAACAGGCCCGTTTTGTGAAAATTGAGGCAATTGAGTAAAGAAAAAAAAGAAAAGGAGAGGGGGGAGGGGTCGTCAAAACAAAAATGTTTTAGAAAATTAGCTAAATTTGGAAAAATTATATTTTTACTTTGCGGTAATTTGGAGAGACCGGACATTTTTTAAAGAAAATTGTTGGGGAATTTAATTGTATTATAACGGTTAAAAATAATTACTTTAAAATAAATTAGTTTAATTAATTTATTTTTTTAATTCATCAGAAAATATAATTAAAATTTTTAATTAAGTATATCTGACATAAAATTATTTATAAATATTAATATACTTGTATATTTTCCCTGAAATAATTAAAATCTCTCAACTAGTGTTCGGCACGGTTGACGGGAGTAACGGATCGTTACTTTTCGGGAATTACCTGTACCATTACCGGTCACTACTTACAACAACGACACTCTTCGGGCCACATTGTATTATAATAGAGATTCCATTTTATAGAAAATTTTTTCTGAATTAATAGTATGTGCTCCGTTCACAATGGTTATAAGCTTGGAAAAACATGTTTAGTACAAACTTGTAGGAAGTAGAACACCAAATCCCTACGTTTATATTGTTATGAAACACACATTTTGTTCAATATCTTTTTAATTAAAATAGGTAGGTATTTTACATTAATTTTTGAAATATTTATATAAAGAAAAATATTTTTCGAGAATTAAATAATGCCCCCACACTCTAAAATAATGCTTTACCACCACCCCCTTATATCCACAAATAGCTTTATTAAAAATATCCTGCATCATTTTCCTCTCCTTTTTTTGCTGTGATTAGATCAAATTAATTATGTTTATTAAAATGAAGAAGGGGGGGGGGGGGGGGAGGAAGGAGGAGGAGGGGAGGGGAGGTAAATTTAGTGGGAGAAAACAAAATGGCCAAAATATTTCCCGTCCACGCAATCATTTCTCTACAAAATGCAACCTAATATTCTTCTTCTTCTTCTCTTTTTCCCTTAACCCCAACCTCCTAATCTGAAACCTACAACAAAATTAAATAGAAGAAAAGAACAATGGGAGAAAGCGAGAAATTGATGAAATAAACAAAAAAAAATATATTTTTATTTTTAATTAATTATAAATAAATAAATGTTTTTAGGTCATGAAGAAGATTTTAATAAGTTCTAAGTATTCGGGACCTCAAAAAATGTTGAAAGAAATTTAAAAATATTTTGGGCAGACTTGTCCCAACAAGCTGTTCTCACAACGTGGAAATTTGGTCAAAGGAAGAATTTTAGTTCAAAATTAAATTTTAAAAAATAAATATTTAATTTTTTATTGACCTCGTCTTACTATTTTTAATTTTTCCCTTCTTTTCTTCTAAAATTTTTCAATTCCTTATTGTCATTTCCAAATAATGGGGAAACCAATTGCGCATGCCGTTGCATTTATTAAGAGGAAAATAATAATATAATGAAAGACATCCACAATATAATAAATAGAAAATTGTTGACCTTTAAGCTCTCTCTCGAGGACAAGAAGAGGATTAAAAATAAGGAAATAATAAAATAAAATTTTTAAATAAAATTAAATATTTTTAGACTTTAATTGTTAATTAATTGACTTCGAAAAATAAATAAATAGAGAATCTCTTTACATTTGTCATGTTCGGCAGTGCTTAATGAGTAAAATTATTTTTTTAAAAGCGTCTACTTCGGTAGGAGGAGGTAAATTTATTGGGAGAAAATATGTATATTTTTGAATTTTTCAGAAAATTTGATTTTTTGGCATTAAAAATGGAAGATTTTTGGCTTCTTAGCAAAATTATCAAAATTTTCGTTTGCGGCGCTGAAAAAGGAAGGAAAGTTCGGCAGAGCTTGACGAGAAATCCTAAAAAGCTCGAGCAAAACTTCAATGGAGACCCAGCATACCTGATAAAAATCTACTAACAATTTTTTATTTTTTCTTTCAATCTCGAAATTTTTTTTCGAAATTTTTGAACTTTTTTCGATTTTTAAGATTTTTCAGTTTCGAAACAGCTATGCGACGAGATACGCCGAAAATATCAAAATCATGTCCGACAATTTTTTTACAATTTTAAATTGGTAGCCTAGCGGTCAAGTTTTTAGATCAGCCCTTGAAAACTTAGAACGGCCGGCCGCTCAAATAGAGAAAATACGTCATCCATTTCGTTATGCAAAATGAAAAATTTTCTTGGGTTGGACGAAATGCAAATTGGGCATTTTTGTTTTGGACATTTTTATAAAATTTAAATTTTTATTTGGTACAAAAATTTTTTGGACAGTTACTGTTTTTGTTCGGTTAAGGACGATTCAGTATAGCCGATTCAGTATCGCCGATTCAGTATCCGCCGATTCAGTATATGGCCATAACTTTCCTGATATTCGACCGATTTGAACAATTCTCATATCATTCGAAAGGTCTCAAGATTCGACATCTTTTTCATAATTGGCCCGATCTGATCTGATGATCACAAAAAAAAGTTACAGCGTGAAAACCGATTCTTTATGCCTGTGACGTCGTTTATCAGTGATAACTTTTTGTAGAGTGATAAGATCAGGTCAGTCCAATTATGAAAAAGATGCAGCACCCCGAGGCCTATCAAATCATATATAATAATTCCCACAATATTGATCGAGCAAAAAGTTATGGCCAAAAAAGCCAAATACTGAATCGGCCAATACTGAATCGGCGATACTGAATTGGCGATACTGAATCGTCCCCTACCCCTGTTTTTGTTTTGTTTAATTTTAAAAAGTTTTACTTATTTTTAATTTTCTTTTTATTTAGATGGAAACAAAAAAAGAAGTAGTAGCATTCTCTTTGGATTCAGAATATGTCCAAGAATATATTAAAGAAAATCCAGCTTTTCTTAATATTGTTTCTTCTTTGGCTTTAAATCAAACATATTTAGAATTATTTAGTCAATTAATTTTGGAAGTAAATGAAGCAATTGAATTAAATAGGCATAAACAAGAAGAAATTAAATTGTGTCGATTTGGGGATTTGGAAGTAAATGAAAAAATAACGAGAAAGAGAATGAATTTGCCTTCTTGTTGTTATCCTTATTTTAAAGATTTTAATGGAATGGTTTGTGTTTTAGTGTATTTTTAATTAAATTTTGAATTCCCTCATTAAATTAAATATACCCTAATTTGGATTTTGTAAGGGGGTTTTTTGGGAAAATTTTCGGATATCCTATCCAAACCGAAGACATGAAACTGAAAAAAAACTTTGGTTTCGAACAGACAATTCAATCCCCTCAAGTTTACTCCCTCAATTCGAAATGTCCTCATTCTTATCTCCAACTTTTTTTCATTTCCAAGGTTTATATAAATTCGAATTCTGAATGTATTTCCTCCCTAAATGTTGACTCGACTTCCCTCAATGTCTCATTAAGGGGCACTGCCCAGTTTTGAATTTTCATTACAAACTTCAGGGGCATATAAACCTCTGACTTTCAACTTTCCCTTTGTCCTTATTTTCTGCCCCAAAATTTTTTGTTTTAACATATCCCTAAATTCCCCTTAAATTTTCTTTTATTTTAGTCTGCAGGTCTGAATGCCGAAGCTTTAGCAATTAAAGAACTTTCTGTTGATCCATTAATGGAGGAAGGGCGGCGATGTATTTTTTCTCAATTTCAAAAAAAATTATTTTTTAATTTTCAGGGAATTATTATGAAATTAATTTGTTACGTATTTCTGTCTGTTCTTCACTTAAAGATGGAAAAATTGGAATTATTAATTTTGGGTTTTTTTCTTTTCTAATTTTTTTTTAAATTTTTTTAAAGAAAAGAAATTGTTTTAAATAAATTAAATGCTGCGGGTGTTGAAATAACTAAAACACAAAAACAGAAATGGATTGGGGAAATTGAACGTGCAAACAAACAAATTGCCAAAATTCGGTTTATTTTTCAGTTTATTTTCTTTTTTTTCTCGTTCCAAAGAAATTAAATTGGGATATTTCGCCAAATTATAAATTTTATGGGACATAAGGAAAAAATGATGACATTTTGTCCCAAGTTGTTGCAACTTGAATAAAGATACATACCTGAGTTATTGCAAAATTTTATCTTTATAGTTGAGCAATTCAATGTTTTTTATAAGCTCGCGCCAAAACTGCCCAGTCCCACACTAAATAACATTAAACTGAATATAAATAATTTTAATTATTTTTGCAGTGCCCAACCAATAAATACTTTTCTTCAAAAAAATCGTGATTATTCTACTGTCGATTGGGCTAGAATCTCTGCTAGTGATGTAAAAAAAACAAAAATTAATTTTCAAAAAATACTTTTTTCTTTCTTTTAAAGTTTAAAGGACTTCGTTCAATTTCCCAACTTCGCCAAAAATGGTATAACCAATTATGTCCAAATTTAAGCAAAACAAAATGGACAGAAGAAGAAGACAAACAATTAATTGATTTGTCCAAAAATTTTTCTAATTGGAATGTTATATCTGAAAATATGGGAAATACTCGATCGGCATTTCAATGCTTTCAACGATTTATTTATTTGAAACAAAATGGTGGAGAGCCAAAGTTTTTATATTTTAAATTTAAAATAAACATAGTGTAATTTTCCTACATATTTATAACGATTCCCCTCTTCCGCTTCACTTTTTTTTTTCAAACAATTTTAGTCACGGGATTCGAAAACAGACTGGATATCTGAATTTTAGTTTCGGATATTGGATCTCGATATCCGAGGACTTCCCAGATACTCCAACCCTAGTCACGAGAGGACTCCCCTTCCTCTGTCACCTTCTTACGTCAATAAAATTAAGTGACCGAGAGGTGTCGTTATATAAAAATTCCGATGGGTTTGTTACTTCTTGGAAATTAAATAATAAATAATAATTAAAATTTTTACATTTATTTTAGTCTTTGGAAGCCTAAAGAAGATAGAAAGTTGCTCAAATTGATTAAGTTGCATAAAGTTGGAGATGAAATTCTTTGGGCTAAAAGTTTGTTTTTGTTTTAATTTGATGCTTTCCCTTATACACTCAAACCTCATACCCAAATTGGAGATAAACCTCAATTTAAGATACTTTTAAATTTGTGTATAAGCGATACCCTCTATTTAATATGCCTTCATTATAAGGTAAAAGTTTTCAAATGTTCAGGTCCTACCGTATTTACTATATTCTTTTTCAATTTATTAGTTGCTGGTTATATGCCTGGTAGAACTAAAATGAGTTGTGAATATCGTTATTCACGTACTTTAGCTGAAAAAATACACAGAGGTCGTTGGACTGAAGAGGAAGATTTGGTTTGTTTTTTTTTCTTTAAATTTTAAAATTTAAAAGATTAAATTTAAGAAACTTTTGGAGGCTGTTGATAAATATGGAGCTAGGAATTGGATTAAAGTTTCTGAATGCGTTCAGGGCCGATCACCTCTTCAATGTAGAAATAGGTTTAAAATTTATTTTCTTTAAATGCTGTCCAAGCCAAAGTCCTTTAAATTCTTCTACCCAAACTTTAAATATAAAAAAACTGTCAAGTATACTCTGAAAGCTTTAACTTTTTTCGATCCGATTTTTTGCTGACAGGTCCATTAAATTTTAATGTCAAGTCACATCGAGTTAGTATTCACCAAAAACTGAATTAGACACCACACTTTTAAATAAAAACTATTTAAAGATGGGTACATGTACTCGATCCTAAACGTCGTGACCGGCCATGGACATTAGAAGAGCATATAAGATTGTTCTATTTTATTCGTCTTTTTGGTCGTGATAAATGTGCTAAAATTGCAAAATTTTTGCCCGGAAGGAATAATATGGATGTTCATATGCGGATTAGATTTTTGATTAAATTACATATTGAGGTTTTTATTTTTTTGTTAAATTTTGTTTAAACAGAAACTCGTTATAGTGAGGTGCTAAAGTAATGACCGCTACATACAAGTTTTTATTCTCTTTAAAAATTTTTTTTGTTTGCCTTAAAATAAGCTATTTTTTATTGGCTTTAATTTAACTACAAATTTTAGGATTTAAGTTGAAATCAAAAACCTATATGTAGCGGGCATTACTTTTGCACCCCACTGTATAAGATTTGGCTAAAAATCATTTTTTAAATGGATATTGCTTTTAATACTACAGATATAGCTCCCCCAAATGTCCAATTAAATTTTAAAAACCGTTCCTTAAATAGAGGGTCATTTAATATTGGGTGTACCTCAAATAGAGGAATATTTTATAATGAGATTCGACTTTATTATTTACCTTTTTAGAAAAATTCTGAGGAAAAATCTCCTGTTTTTCGTCATTTTGCTTACAATTATATTCATTATAAAACCCGTCGTAAAACTATTATGGATAACTTCAGCAAATATTTGGAGGATAAACAGAAAGACAAAAAGACATTTATGAAAGAAAGACTTGGATTTGGTTCATTTATAGGTTTGAATTTTTGGAGAGAAAAATTTATTTATTTTTTAGAAAATAATATTAAAAAGTCAAAATCTTCTGAACAAGTTAATGAATGGAGTGTTATTGGATCTGGTAGATGGACTAGACTTCAACAGAGAAATCCGAATGAGCAGGATCATAAGGAAAGAAAAAAGGAACTTGAATTGCTTCCAGATGATCAACGTGCAGAGGTTCTTTTTAATTTTTTTATTTTGTATACAAACGAATACCTAATTTTGTATACAATCGATACTGGATTCATTTCTATTTAAGATTTTTTAAAATTTGGGTTAGCCACTGAATGGAGGAGATGCCTAGGCGATATCTCAAATTTAAGATACTCTTTATTATAACAATTTTTCTAGTCGCAAGTTGATACTTACATACATATAGGTAAGGGGCTGTCTCACGGTGTACGGAATTTCGATCACCAAGTCAAAAGGTGACGACATCAAAATCTCCTGATTCAATCATTCTGAACAAAATTATGATTAATTGAATCTCGCTCGAATAACTGTTTTACTTTGGGGATAACTCGGCATTTCAAAACTGGAAATAAGTAAAAGGGGGATATGTTTATGTTTTTTGTTTTTTTTGAGCTGCTGTCTGTATTTACAATTACAAAAATAATATTTAAAAGGTATTATTATGGTTAGAAAAATCTGATGCTAGATTAGAAGCTGAACAAGAATGTGAAAAACAAATACCTGAAGATCCTGAACTTGCTGTAAAATTTTATGAAAAAATGTTTACTAAAGAAAGAATTGAAGGATTATTTAAATTAATTGAAGAATTAATTCCGCCAAAACAAAAGTTTTTTTTTCCTAAAATTTATTTAATTTTATTTCTTTTTTTTAAAAAGGGATATTACTTATTTTGAAAATCAACAAAATCGGAGTAAGAGTGTTGGAAGGTCTAAAAGTCTTGTTTCTCGCTGCAAAAGTGTTGGGACTACTAAACTGGAGTCCGTAAAAAATGAAGAAGTTGTTGAAGAGAAAGAAGAAAGTTTGGCAAAAAAGAAGAGAAATATTTTTGGAAGAATTAATGAAAATAAGAAGAAGAATAGTAAATTAGAAGAAAAGGAGGAGGAAAAGGAAAATAAAGAAGTAAAAAAAGAAGAAAATAAGGAGGAAGTAGAAAAAGAAATTTTAATTGAAAATAATCGTCAAAGAAAATCAAAAATTAAGGCAAAGGAACGTATTGAAAATGATGTTAAAGTTTTAAATAAAACAAAGTCTTTAATTAATGTTAGAGGAAAGAAACGCAAACTTGAATGGTAAGCTTGAAAACAAAAAAGAAGATTGAGTAGTATTTACTTATTTATTTGGGTCTTTTTATATAATTATTCTGATTATGGGTATTTATCAAATATTCTGATTCTCTTTATTATATGTAGTTATTCCGGTTATATTAAATATTTGTTCTGATTATCTACTATATCTACAGTGTGTTAACAAATTATGTATACCCACCTAATTTTTTTCAGTCGTTCAAGGTACCCATTAACCAATTAATCTGAGATTTTTATGGGACATTTATATTAGACATATCTAAAAAAATTCACTCAACCGGTTTTTTGGAGTTTCTCAAAAATGGGTATTAAGAAATTAGAAGTAACTACCTGAAAAATTTTTGATTTTCATATTTGACATTGTTGTTAACTCGTTTTCCTGAACAGATTCTCCATGAAGTAGAGAAGGATTAAATTTGAAATGCACAAAAATATTTATTTTCTAATTTAACACCCATTTTTGACAAAAAAAGCTCCATAAAAACCGGTCTAATATTCAGATTAATTGGTTAATGGGAACCTTTAATGACCGAAAAAATAGATGAAGTTATAATTTCTTAACACACTGTATCAGGTATGGGTCGGGTCAAATTTCGGATAACCCGGCCCATCCCTGATATCTAGTATTGTATTTATGTTCTTTTTGTTGTATTTTCTTTTTATTTTGTTCTGGTTTTCCGGAAAACACTAATTCTTTTATTTTCTATTCCGGAAATTACATTGTCTTTCTTCCTTAAAAATGTTTCCGGAAAAACTTCTTTATGTATTTTTTTGGTTGGTCCGGTGTTATCATATTTATTAAATTATTGTATTTATAAATATTGGATTTTTTTAAATTTTTTTATTTAGAATGAATTAAAATAATTTAATTCTTAAATTACCTATAATTAATTTATTTTTATTTATTTTTGTTCTAGCAATCCAAATTAAGTACTTTGACGTTTCCGCTGGGCGAATACCATCCAAACCGTCACATAATGCTGACCTGCTTATTTCTACGTGTACTTTATACGTCTTCTATTTGCGTGTATTTAATTACGTTTTGATAGAAATTGCTGCTTAATATTGATTTATATAAATCAAAAGAAAATTATTTCTAGCTTTATTTTATCCTTTAGTAGCTGAGAAAATAATTTTAAAATAACTTTTCAGTCTACTCTGTTAATCTTTTAAATAAATTGAAAAATTTTATTAAATTTAAGGGTTAATAATGTTTAATCAGTGGTTATCTCACTCCATTATTGCCAAAAATTAATTTTGTTTGAAATCTATAATTTGAGTGAAACTGCGATTAAGCTTAATAACGATAATTTAAATTGAAGCAAGGCTAAGTGTGTCCCGCAACAATTTAACGATTTTCATTTTACTTCCCTTTTGTGTTGAATACTAATTTTTTCCATTTATTTTTCTAATTTTTTAAAATAAATTTTTTAACATTTTTCAGGTCAATGTATTTAATTTTTATTTTTCTTCTTTATTTTTATATTAATTTTGTAAATTCTGATTTATTTACCTCTTCTGTAGACCTTCAACAATTAACTTATGCAGAAAAGGATATTCCTAAATTAATTACTAATTATATACAACTTGAAACTGAACGTTTAGAGCATTTAAAAAGGTTTGTTTTAATTAAAAAAATTTTTTTCATTTGTGACTTGTAAAGAAGGCGAGGCTTTTTTCTAAACTTTTCCTCTATTTCTTTTTGGTTTTTAATCAAGGATTATTTTTTGGCATTTAGATAAAATTTTTAAATGTTAAATTCATTTCTAATTTCTCAAAAAACAAGTACCTTTCAGTTATTTGCTGGGAGTCCGCAAATTCTGTCCGCAAGTCATACTACTATCTAGAGCAACAGGGAAAAAGTCGCGAAAATCCTTTCCTTCTTTTTTACGAGTATAAAAAATTAAAAATTTTTTTCAATTTTAAAGTATCGCTGAAAAATATCAACAAAACAATGAGGAAATGCACACAAATTTATTAAGCGTCTCAAACCCAATTAATGCCTTCAGGTTGATTAAAAAATTAACTCAAACATGGAAAGATTTGCAAGCTGAAATGCGTTCGGATATTGCTGGAAGTTATTTACAAAATATTTCAATTCAGAAAGGTTCTAGATTTCCGACAGATGTTTGCCTTTTTAATTAATTTTTGATAAAAATGTTTTTAATTTAAGGAAGATTTGAATGGGGCAGCTGTTGGATTGCTTCGATTACAGGACACTTATCGTCTTGATACTGGCGATTTGGCTAATGGAGTGGTTAAAAATGTTAAAATTGGAAATGGAATGAATGGTTGGGAATTTATTTTTGAAATTTTTAAAAATACTTTTAATGGGTACTTTTTGGATATACCGCCCTCTCCATAGTTTGAGTATCATTCTTTTCTTCTTCAGTTTTGGGTATATATTTGATGAAGGAAAAAATAACTGATATCAAACTAGGAGGGGCGGCATATCCAAAAAGTACGTTTTAATGATATCCAATTTCTTTTTTTGGCTCTCAAAACTTTGCAAGTTCCTTTGGAGAAAGAATACAAAATTTCGATGAGTTGGTGTCAGAATATTTCTCATTTTTCTAAAATACATTTCATGACTTGCGGACAGAACTTGCGGACTCTTGAGAACATTAGAAGACGTTAACTTCCTTTAGTTATTGGTTATGTCTAGAGTCCGACATTTTAGGTCGGACTCATTTTAGGTCGGACTCTCTAAAAGTGAGAAATAGGTTCCTATTTTAGGTTTTTAAAATAGCAAAATAGGTTCGAAAAAATCCAAAAAAGGCCAAAATAGGTCCAAATTTTGACCAAATAGGTTCGAATTTTGGGTTACTATAATGATAAAATAAAAAAATTTTTGAGAAAAAATTTTTCCTACGTTAAATAATTCGTGGGAATATATTCGAATCTCACTAAAAAGCAACTCTTGTTACTTATTCGATACCCCTCGTAGCAGCAAAGTTTTTTCACCGAGGATTTAATTAATTATAATTTTGTTCAGAACCATCAAATCGAGCTGATTTTGGTGTCATTAACTCGGCTTAACAAGCTCGTGATGGTGAGCTCGTTGAGTCGATCTTTTCATGACTTAAGCCCCAAAGAAACCGATTTTTCTAACTCTAAAATCGGCCGATAAAGTGCAGTTTATCCAAAATTCATGTTTAATCATCATTTTTTGAAAGAATCCTTAATATTTATCTTCATTTCGACAAAAAATTGACAGAAAATAGTCTAATTTTAATAAAAATCTTCAAAAAACCTAAAATAGGTCCAAAAAAGGTCAAAATAGGTTCAAATAGGTTTTAGGTCCAAAAAAGCCGAAATAGGTTTTTTAGGCTCAAATAGGTCCAATGTAGGAGCATGGTACCGTGCCAAATAAGTGTTTTTTGAGCTTTACTCAACATTACAAGGTTGCAAAAAAAATAGGTCGGAACCTAAAATGTCGGACTCTAGTTATGTCCCTGTTTTTTATATTTAAATTTATTTTCCATCAACCCCCATCTTTTAAAATTCCTTTAAATTAAAAATTAAATTTTTAGCTTTTGATTGTTTTGAAATTGGCCGAATTGCTTACAACGAAGAGGTTTTTCTTTAATTTAAATATTTTTAATTTAATGTCTTCAATATAAAGGATTATTTTCATTCTCTTTTATGGATGCAAGAAGCCTTGGATAGAGTAAAACGTGAAATGCCTCCTTCAATTGCTGAATCTGAAATTCTTGGTTTTTTTTTAATTTTTTTAAATCTTTGCTTATTTTTAGAATATTTGGCTTTTGCTCTTTTCAAACAAGGAAATATAAAGCAAGCATTGATTACAACTGATAGACTTTATCAAATTGGTTTTCTTTTTTAATTCTTTAAAAATTTATTTATAGTAAATATAATTTTATAGCTCCTTCTCACCCACGAGCCAAAGGAAATATAAAATGGTTTGTGATTAATTTATATTTTGGGAAAATAAAAGTGTTTCTATCAGGGACGTCACTGGATATACAAAATCCTAACTTTTTTTCTCAGCCTGTGACATCCTTGATCTCTTTGGTGTTACATAACTTGAAAAATATTTTTGGAAAATTTTCTTAAAATTTTTATTTTTCTGTTTTTATGCCTCTAAGTTTACTTTAAAAGAGTTTAAAATTTTAAATTTAAAAAAAAGGTATGAAGACCAGATGAAAGCTGATGGAATAAAACCAATAGATATGCGCCGTAACATTCCCCCAATTGTGAATCCTAGAGCTGGCGATTCTTTGGGCAATTCTGAAAGAGATATTTACGAGGCTCTCTGTCGAGATGAAGTTCCTGTGGTTTGTTTTTTTAATTTTTTAAAAGAGTACAGATCCAGAAGAGTCTGTATTCTGTTTACACTTGTCTTAACCCAGCTCATTCTTTTTATCTTTTTAGAGTCAAAAACAAATATCAAAACTTTATTGTTATTACAAAATGGACAGACCTTTTCTCCTTTTGGCTCCTTTTAAAGTTGAAATTATGCGTTTCAATCCTTTGGCTGTTCTTTTTCGAGATATAATAAATGATGAAGAAATTGAACAAATACAAGAATTAGCCAAACCAAAATTAGCTAGAGCAACAGTCCAAAATAGTCAAACTGGGAAATTGGAAACTGCTTCTTATCGAATTAGTAAAAGGTTTTTTTGTTAAATTTTGAAGAAATGAGTATTTATTTTAATATTTTTAGTGCTTGGCTAAAAGGAACAGATCACCCAATTGTTGAAAGAGTTAATCGACGATTAAATTTAATGACTAATTTGGAAATGGAAACGGCTGAAGAATTACAAGTTTGTTATTTTAAAGTGGAATTTTTTGGTATTCCTCTTGTTTACATTTCTGAAAAAACTCGAAAGTTGTTAGAGTACTATGTAGTAGTAGATGCCAATTAGATCGAAACTATCGAGGACTCGACTTTTTTCCTTGGTTGGGCCGGGCCATGAATGAGTCGGGCTAGTTGAACATTTTTTCGACACGAAACCCGGCTCTAGGGAAGTTTCGAAACCCGACTTTCTTTCTCAACGCGACTCATCCTATTTATGTAATATTAGAATATTCAAACAAAATATACTAACTTATCCTTTCACGTGATGTTAGTCTATCGAGACTCTTTTTAACCTTGTATGTAGGCATTCAAAAAACTTTCTCTTTGTAAATTTTTAAAATTTAGATTGCAAATTATGGGATTGGTGGTCATTATGACCCTCATTATGATTTCGCAAGGGTTTGCTTTTGTTTTTTCTACTTGTCAAATTGTTCATTTTAGAAGGAAGAAACCAAAGCATTTAGTGATTTGGGGACTGGAAATAGAATTGCTACAGCACTTTTTTATTTGTCAAAGCCAGATGAAGGTGGATTTACGGTGAGAGGAAATTTATTTTTTGTTTTTATTGGGGGAAATATTTTTGCGGATTTTTATATGCGGTTCTTTGAGGATGAAAAATAAGAGAGATATTTCTTTTTTTTCATATTCCTTTATAATTTTTTAAATCTTCAGGTATTTACTGATTTAAAGTCAGCAATGAAGCCAAGTAAATATGATTGTCTTTTTTGGTATAATTTGTTGAGAAGTGGTGAAGGTGATCTTCGAACACGGTTTGTATTCTTAAAGTGGATCTCGTTTTCGGATACACCCAGGAATTAATAAATCTTCCTTTCTTTTTTTGTTTGGCCACATGTTGGGAGAACTGTTTAAGAAATACCTTAAATACACCTCAAGTTAACGTACATCTTTTCGGTAGATATCCCAAGGGATATCTACAAGTGAGGTCCAGCTGTATTAAAATGAATTAAAATAATTTTATTTTCCTTTTCAAGTCATGCTGCTTGTCCAGTACTTTTAGGTACCAAATGGATTGCTAATAAATGGATACACGAAAAGAAACAAGAATTTTTACGTCCTTGTGCATTAATGCCTTCAGTACAAGAACGCTATGTTGGCGATTTGGGAGGCCCAGAACCTCGTTTTTATCCAAATATTTCGCCTTATTGTAAAAAGGGTGCTTATTGTGAATAAATTGGGGGGAGAGAAGAGTGAGGGGGAATAAAATTTTCTTTTAGATGGTAAAGTTTTCTTTATTAAATATTGACTAATTTTTAAAAATTTATTCAATAATTATTTTTTATAATTCTTTTTACCCAAAATAACCGCCATTTTCTGCTCATTTTTCTTAAATACACTTCCAAATTATTTTTTATTATGTCGGACCTCATTATTGGACACCCCACTTTGGGACGAAAATTTGTCTATTATCTCAAATAAAAGGTTTCGCTTAGATAGCTCCTCGATCCATTGGATGTTCCAATTATCTTAACTAGTTTATTTTGGATATTTATAGTGAGGAGGTCCGATTGTACATATATTTTAATTATTATTTTTAACATAGTAATAATAATTTTTACTATTTAATAATTTCTTTTATCCTATATTTCACGGGAATTGTCAATGCGCAACAACTTAACTAAATCAAGTATTTTTCAATATTTTATTAGAGCCCTCAAAAATTCAAAACAAAAATTTTCTCTTTAAAAAACTTTTTAAGTTGTTGTGCCCCCCTTCCCCCACTCTTGCCAAATAAAATACTTCAAAACATTTTAAATTTCTTTAAATTAATAATTTATGTGATTTTGTTAAGTTTTTAATGTTGCATTTTTAAAGGTATAAATTGGTGCATAATACATAAAATACAACAAAATATTCAGATTTTTTAAAATTATTATAAATAATCGTTAAAATTTTAATAATCTCTTTTCATTTTACCGTGGCACGACTTTTGAATTGACATTAAATTGTCAATTACTAGTGACCGTCAAGATCGATTTTTCCGGGGTCTGATTCTTGATTTTCAGCTAGACCCGGAACGGATCCAGTCAGATTTTTCTCGTTTAATCCGGGATTTGGAACCCGGACTCTAAAAAATCCGGCCGGGCTGGTCCGATGCTGGTCACTACTAATTACCCAATTGTGAACGAAGTTATAGCTCTGCGGTACCTTGGGGTGTACCCCTAAATGAACGATACAAAGTTTGGATTAGTGTTTAACCCCTCGTCCATGGAAAGTGAATTCCCCGAGGAACGGAAGATAGTCTCCCCCAGAGCCCCGTTCTCTCTTCTTCAATTTACATATTTTTAAAATACCTTCTTAAACTTTAAAAAAATTTCTAAAACACTAAAAATTATTTATAAATTTTAAAAATAAAATACAAAACCATTTTTGTTAAACAAACTTTTCTTCCCCTCCCTAATAACATTTTTTTAATTTATTGGTCTAATTTTTTTCTTTCAAAGTTCATCGTGTCTACGCATTAAATTTGGTTCAATATTTTCAATAAACCAATCAAATGGTTTACATTGAAGTTTTTCTTTGAGTTTAAATCTTTCTGTTAAATCTCCAGGGTCAATTCTTTTGGCAGATGGACGGGCAGGAAGGAATTGTTTCTAAAATAATTTAAAATTTAGTTTTTAAATGAGCTTTTTTTAAGCATTCATTCTCTCCCAATTACCTCATAATATTCACCAAGCCAAACTTTAGCAGTTCTCAAAGCATTATAGAGAGATGTGTCTAGTCCACGTTTCCCTTTATAAGGTCGTCGTGTACGGAAAACATGTCCCACACGGCTACAAGGAGCTACTAAAACTTCTCCTCCACATAGCCAAACCTGTAAAAATTATTGGAAAGGAATTGTATAGGACCTCCCTTTAAGATACCTTTGTAGCTTAAAAATTGCACCTTGTAATGGGTGTATCTTGAATAGAGGGTATGACATACACGAAAATTTCTACTGTTTCATTCATCAACGAAATGATTTTTAAAAAATTTTTGTTGTTTGCCTAAAAACATTTTGGGTTTTCGTGCATGTCTGATTACAGATAGACCCCTCTATACCAACAAAATTTTAAAAAGCTTATCTTAAATATAGGGGTATTGGGGGTATCTTATAGCACAAGGTTCTACTGTTTTTTAAATCAAAAATACCCTAAGCGAAAGTTCAATATTTTCTCCTCCCCAAATCTCCATTCCAACATCATATTCACCAATTTCCCGAAAATATTCTGTAGAAATTGCCAATAAACCTCCACTCATTGTAGGCGTTTTATATGGTTTTATATTATTTTCTTCATTATTAAAGTAAGACCAATCAAAATAATCCCATCTATAATGCAATCCCCAATCAAATGTTCCTTTAGCCACCATTGCCTTTTTTGTTGAAAAAAGAATATTATTTTGATAGGGAAGGGGGGGGGGTATGATTTAATATAAACAAATTAAGCATCTAAATAGTTAAGCATCCCCCTTTTTTTATTTACCTTTTCATAACCAAACAAATTTGCATTAATTAAATCAACTACTGGCAAAACAATTCTTAAAAAATATTTTTTAAAATAATATTTTTAAATTTAAAATAAATACCTTTTCTTATTTTCCTGAATAGTTGATAGTAAAGGTTCCAACCAACGGGGGGTTACCTTTAATAAAATTAGAAAAAATAATAATTTTTTAAATTGTTGGCTGTAGGATGCCCCTTTGGACCTGAAAAAGCGTATCTTATAATGAAGTGTTCTTAAATAGAGGGTATTGCTTAGGCAGAACCTCAACCCAGAGGGTAACCAAATTTTAGAAGACGTATTTTAAATAGAGTTTATCTAATAATTTGGGGTGTTTTATATTAAGTATTGGGTATTTGAGGAGTGTCTAATAATGAGAGAGTATTTTACAGTCCGCAAATATTTATATTAAAAATAAAGATTACTTCACAATGGCTATCCAAAAATACAATAACATCACCAGAAGCCTCTCTAGAAGCAAAAACCTAATTTAAAATTTAAAAATAATTTCTAAAAAATCCTTCCTTCCTTACTTTAGCTCTAATCAATCCCTGTCTTTCTTCAGTTTTAAAAAATTTAATTAAATTTCCCCAATTCCCTCCTTTTAATTTAGAATATTCTTTTAATTGTGTTTCGATAGAAGAATGGGATTCTGAGGCATCATCATATAAAATAATTTCTTTTAAAAGTTTTGAAGGGGTATAACGAAATATTCCATTAATCATTCGAACAAGAACAGAAAAAGCTTCGTTGTGATAAACAATTACCTTGGAGGGAAATAAATATAAATTAATTATTTAGACACAAACAATGCTTGTTTTTAAATTAACATGAGAATAATCAATTTCTGAACACCTTTAAAAATTAAATTGAGGGGATTAAATGAATTAAATATTTATTTTTACTTTTCGTGTGCCTGTATTTCTATTTCTCTTTCTGGTCCAATTTTGTCGCTAGCCCAAGCATTAAAGTAATGCCTGAAATTATATAATTTTAAAGAAAAAATTCTGGAATTATATTTATTCTGATGTAAAAAATAAATTTTAAAAATACAGCTTTAAATAATAATCGACAGAATTAAATTTCTGGAATAAAAATACATTCTGAAATACAGTTCTGATTTTTTATTTTTAATTTCTAATAATATTCTGATTTAATTTTGATTTTTAATTATTTTACCTGTGTATTCCCTTATCATAAAGTTCCCGTTCTTCAGTTCCTTCTTCAGGTATTTCTTTAGTAACATTACATTTTTGTGGAAATACAGGTAAATTAGCCCATTTATTTAAATCTTTAGAGGGGTCAATAAATGGACATTCTGGTAGTTTAGAAGGGGAATTTGTTAAAATTGAAGTGAAAAATATAGAAAAAAATAAAAATAAATGGGCGATAAAATACATAATGCCCTAAAGTATTTTAATTAATTAAAAAATTTTAAACCGTAAAATAAACACAATTTTAAGAAAATATATTAATTTATAGGTGTTCTGAATTAAATAAACACAAACCTAATAATTCTGATTTTTAATTTCTGAAAAAACACAGAAAAACACAAATAAATTCTTTTGAAATTAAATTCTGAAATTAAACTGAAAAACACATAGATTAAAAAAATCAGAATTTTAAACGTCTAAACAAATTTTCCAGAATAAATAAATTCTGATTAAATTCTGATTTAAACTATTCAGTGTTTTATATAAGATTATTTAATATACCGATAAAGATTTTAAATATATTAATTAAATTATTTTTATTTAATTTTTGGTCGACTTAAAGCAACGTGTAAATAGTTGCAGTAAAGAAAATTCTAGAAAAATATATTCTCAATCAAAAAAGTATTTATTGACCGCGCAACTTTATTTTTGTCCTTCAAGGAAAGCAACTCTAAAAGAGAAAAAAAAGAAAAAAATAAATTAATGCTGGTGGTGATCGACGGGTTTTGCTACGTTGCTCGGCTTTTTTCGTTACATAACTGTGACCAAACTGGTAATTATAGCCAGAATTTAAGGTGTTATTTAGCTGTCTAAAACACAATTTAGAATAAATAAATTTTGAAGAATTCTGGAATTTGAAAAATAAAAAAGGGGAAAACACACTTCTGAAACACATTTTTTGCTAATATTTTGTTCTTGTAAGAAAAATTCTGACAAAAATTCTGAAATATGTAAAACACATATATGCCTAAAACACATTCTGGAATTAATTCTGAAAATAAAATAATTCTGAAATGTTTTCCTAACTTTAATAAAATCCAATTCAGAAAAACGTAAATTCTGAAATAACCAACAAAAAACACAAAATTAAAAATGTTCATTATTTAAAGTTTTCAATAAAATCACAATACAAAACAGAAGGGAAGAGATAAAACACAAGAAAATTTTTTAGAGAAACATGGAAGGAGGGAGGAGCTCAAATGCTTCTTGTTTAGTTTAATTAATACAAGTTTTGTTACAATGTTTTTATGGGGGGGGGGGTGTATTAAATGGATATATATTAATTGGTTAATTTATAATTTTTCTTGAGAACCTCGCTTATATGTTTACAAAGTATGAATTCTGAAAAAAATTTAAAAACATAAACAAACAGTACTGAGTGGGGTGGATAAACTCAGATGTTTATCGCTTACTTTTGTAACAAATTTTTCGATCAGAGGCGCTCATAAGTGAGGTATAACTGTCCTTAAAACCCTTCACCAACAATTCTTAATTAATTAACCAATTAATTTTCAAAATCCGTTCCCGTACATTTTGTGTTTCTAATTTAGTTTCGGTCACTTATTTTTGAAAAAATGAAAATAGTAAATATCTAATAAAAGGGTTTGGAAAAGGAAAGGAAAATTAAAAATATGCTGAAAATATTTTAAAATATATTTTTTCAGTCAAAAAAACTTTTCAGCATTTACAAAGAAGTCTATGTATAAAGAAATTTAAGCCGGATCTCGATTATACGACACCCAAAACTTATTTAAACTCCCTATTGTTCGTACAATATTTTTTAGGTTGATTGGCCGCAAGTAGGGGAGCTATTTTTTTCCAATTATGGGTATACTATTTAAAAACTTTTTCCCAAAAAGGCGTTGTATAATCGAGACCTAACTACATATAACACTTTTTAGCTAATAAAACTGGCCAATAATTTTTATTTATATAATTTTAATTTGTGCTCTCACCGAGAGGAAGAAATTGTTAAAATTAAGGATATAAGGAATAGAAACGTTAGGGCAAACAATTTTAAATTTGAAGCAAAGAAAAAGAAATTTATTTGTTTGTAGATTTAATTAGTAATTTTGGTTTTGGACAGCTGGGGCTGAATCCATCCCAGAAAAGATTGTATGGTGCCTCCCAAACTATGAATGTTCAGAACCACCTTGAGGGTATGCTACTCTTGCAGAATCATTCAAAGCATCGATCAATTCTAAAAATGATTTCCCCGGCAAGAGAAAAAAGTTGAAAACTATGTATTCCCCGACATACACATCCCGATCGTTCGAGGTACAACACTAATTGAACAAATGAATCAACGATATTTGGGTAGTTAATATGTGTTTATGTTATAGATTTGGGGCAGGATCAAGGAGTGATTTTTTATAATTAAATGCCCTAACGTTTTTAACAATAAAATATTTTTTTAAAAAAAGGGATTATTTAAATAAAACCTATTTTTCTCTTTTTTTATTTATTCTGTTAATATAACTAATATATAAAATCTAAATGATTATTCAAAGTATATAGACTTTTTTTATATGTGAAGGAAATAGCTACTTTTCAGGAAATAGTACATTCATTTGTGGAACCTAAAGTAATTTGCTTTGTTAGTTCATAAGTTTCAAATAGTTTCAAATATTTTTAAAATTTTCAGAAAACTATCATAGCTATCCAATTTTATATCAATAACATAACAAGGAATTGGTTGTAGGCGAAATCCCCAGATATCCTGACCTGATATCCGAACCGAAAAGATTCAGATATGGACTTTTCAGATTCAGATATCCATTCCGCCAACTGTAGGGCTTTGATTTCAGAACCCAGCCCCAGACTTATATACGTCATTTCCTACAAAATAATTTTCTTAATTTTCTAAAAGTAGCTATTTCCGCTAAATATTATTTCCCTAAAAACATTAAAAAGAAATTACACCGGGAAATAGAAATGTTTTTTTAGAAGTTGGGAAAATTTAATATAAAATATATTTTTTAAATTTATTTTTTTAGGAGGGGACTACACCGCTTTATTTCCTTTTTTAGCCTAAAATATTTATTTATTTATTTAATCTTCTCTAAATTTTTTTATTTCCTGAATTCCTAGCTAAGGCTTTCCACCAAATTTTTGATTTTGCGTTGTTGACTGTATTTGACCACCAACATGATGATGAAGTGTTGTTGTTGGAACATTTGTTGAGAAAATTTGGGGAGGAGGAGGCTGAATTGAAGTGTGGGATGAATGGTGTTGTTGTTGTTGATTAAATGCATGATGGTGGTGGGCCGCTGAATTTGCTGCTGAAAAATCGGCGGAGGCAGCCAAAGAATTTAATTGGTTGGCATAAACCTAAGAGAGAATTTTTAAAAAAGGGAGTTCGTAGTAGTTTAAATTTAGTTTTCCTTAAAGAAACGGAATAGTCTGCTTTGGTTGAAAAATCGTGAGGTTCCACAACTTCGGCCCACAACATTCGGATACTCAAAACCAGACCGAAGAACCTAACCGAAAAATCCATGGTTTTCGTTTAGGCCGGTTCCTAAAGAACGATCTCTTCCCAAACCAAAATTCTAGAACTTATCAAGTTAAGCCATAAGTGCCCTTCTTCAAATATGCAAAATACATTCTTTAAACCATTCACCAAAACCTCTTCACATTTAAAAAAATTTCCCCTACCATCGCAGCTTCATATACAGCCTGCTGTTGTGCAACCAACTGTGCAGCAGCCAAATCTCTCGGATTGATAGGTCCCCCACCAGCATTATTTCCTCCTAGCTGTCCTCCTCTATTTCCAGTATTATTATTCCCTCCAGACCCTCCCAAAGCAAAATGGCTAGTAACTTGTTGTTGGGGATGATGTTGTTGTTGATGGGCAAACCCATTCCCATGAAATTGAATACCCGTTGCTGCTGGACCAATTCTTAACAAATCTACGCCTTGGGGTAAATCTGCACAAGAAACTCCTCCATTTCCGTGTTGAGGGTGGTGGTGGTGATGTCCATATACACCTGCTGCTGCCGCTGCAGTTAACGCTGCTGTCATTGCGTGATTGTGGTGGTGGTGAGAGGGGGGAGCTGGAGGAGGGCCGTAAGCAGGCAGTCGAGGAATAAAAGAAGCATAAGCTAGCAATTGTTCTGGTGCTAATCCATAAAGATTACGAGCTGCTAATATTTAAATAATTTAAAGTTTAATTTTTGTAACAGGGGTTGTTTTAATTTAAGCCTTTCTGAAGGAAAAAATATTGATGTAAGGGCGGAAAAAAGGGAAAGATTTGACATGAATATTTTTCTTTTTATCTAAATCCATTTCTTTTATCTTTCCTCTCTTATAATTTTTTTCGTTTGTGTTAGTTCATAATTTAAATTTATTTTATTTTTAAAATTAAACCTGCAGCACGGGTTTTATTTAGTTGGAGAGGTAGCATGACTTCTTTTGGTTGTGCCTTTTGAAAAACAATATTTTATTAAAATAATTTTGGTCAAAATTCCTTAGCGCATAGTAATATAAAGGTTAAAGCTAGGCTCTATAGTCTTTGTTATTGTCCAACCTAGGGGGAAATTTTAGGAACAAAAAAAAGGGGGGGGGGGGGGACTTCAACCGCCTCAACATTTCTTCAAAAAATAACAAACTCCAAAAACCTTTTTGCATTCAACCATCTTTCCATTAATTTCATGAAAATGTATTTCGCAAACTTTGTCACTAACTTCATCATCATCAAATGTAATAAAACCAAAACCTTTGAAATTTAAAAGAAATTTGAGAATTAAAAGCTTGTTTTAATGGAATGGAACAAAACAGTGTTTGGAATTTTGAAATTTGCTCGTACTCGTGCAAGCCTTATTTTTGGCCTCGTACTTGAAAAATATACCTGAAAGGTACCTCCCCTCCCCCTTCGAAAAAAATAATTAGTTATATCAAAAAACAACACCTCTGTGCCGTTGAGTAGTTTTATCAAACATTAACATTGCATCTTCAATATTCCCGTATTGTGAAAAATATTGTTTAAGATCCTCTATCTGTTTAATTTTAAAAAATAATTACATATTTTAATAGCCCCCCCCCCCCCCAAAAAAACCCCCACGATACACCAATGGGTAAAAAATCGTCACTTATAATTAGGTGTATATTAAATAGAGTGTCCTTAAGCGAATCCCCCACCCAAATTCTTAAATAGAAGTGTGTCTAGTATTGGGAGTACCTTAAAATTATTAAAAATAATTACAGTAGAATTAGAAGACAATCCACCAATAAAAACTTTTTTTGTTTTTACAACTAATTTTGGTTGTTGTTTTTTAGGAAAAGCTATTTTAGGGTCTATTCGTTTTCCATCTAATTCGTGTATTTCGATTGCTAACACTTTTTCTACAGAAATTGGGTCTACAAAAGTAATAAATCCAAAGCCTCTAGCACGTTTGGTCGTTGGATCTCGCATAACCATACATTCATTAACTTCTCCAAATTTGCAAAAATAATCGCGAAGACCTTCTATAAAAGAAAAATTCTTTTTAACTCCCTCCACCCTATCTCCCATAAAACAAAAAATTTCTTCTTCCAAACCTGCAGTAGTTTGCCAACTAAGCCCACCAACAAACATTTTTCTTAAAATAATTTCTAATTAAAAAACCCCCCAATTCCTTCCTTCCTTCCTTACCCAGGTTCATTATTTCCCCCACCAATTTCCCCATCCACACTTTCATCCAAATTTGTAGTTGTTGCTTGTGATTCAGCATCTTCTGTTAAAGCAGCAGAACAAGCAGAAGAACCCCCAGCAGTTGTTATTAATTTTTGTTTTTGTTGTTGATGACTACTACTTCCCCCTCCTCCTCCACCATTTTCTTTTCCTTGTTTTTCTTCTTTTTCTTTCTCACCTTCTTCAATTTTCAATTGAACAACTCCATCTTCTTTCTCAGGCTCTCCCATAAGTTGCTACCTTTAAAGCTTAAATTTTCTTCTTCTTTTTTCTTTTCTCGTTGTTGTTTTTATTCAAAAACTTTTTTATTTAATTGCAGATTATTGAAGAAAAAGGGAAGAAGAAGAAGAAAGGAAAGGAAGAAAATATTTTTTTAATAAAAAATTAATTTTTTTTTAAATTTTTAATAATTAATTTAATAACACAACGTTTTCATTCTATTAATTGTTTTATACTCTCTACTCTAAAAACAGCTCTAGGCCGGACGGACAGAGTAGGGAAAGAAGCGGAAACTGATGGTGATGTGGTGGTGGTGGTGATGGGAAGCGGTGAAACTCTGAAAAATTAAACAGAAAAATTTTTCGAAATTAAAGTTGAATTTAGATTATAATCAAGGAAGAAAGAGTTGGTTAAATCAAGAAACATTTATGAGAAATTTCGACAAGTAAGATAGTTCGTGATTTCGAAAAGTTCGATAATGAGAATCGACTACATCGAGTTTTAAAGATCGGGGCTAAAAAGAGAGATCGAGGTTTAAAAAAAACCTGGGTTGTCCCCATTTTATTTCTTTGCTAAAAAGGTGCATAATGGTTAGACCTCCCCAAAAACGTAAAGATTTTCTCTTCAGATCATTCCCAAGCTCGATCTCTAATATACAGTATCATTTTACGGTTTGACTATAATACATATGCAAAAAGGATAAATGATAAGGAAATAAAGAGTTGAAAATTCAAAGTTTTGAAAGGGAAATAAATAGAAGATTAAAAAATTGGTAGTCGAGAGTTGGGGACATTTTCTGAAGGACAGAGGGAAGAAGGCTTCGGCATTGAGGGAATACCGGTTTATTGTTATACGATCTTTCAAATTTTTTTTATTTAAAAAGGTTTAGGCGCGCATGGAACGGAACCTAATAAGAATTGTTTTGTTGTTGTTGATTGCGCAGAAGGGAAAGGAAAAGGTAATTTCTTGCCGATTTGAGGGGATTGAAGGGATGGAAAGTAAAAAAAGATGGGGAGATAGAGAGTTGGGGGGAACAACGACGTTAAAACGATCGATTGACGATTTATGTGAATGGTCTGGGGGCTGACAAAACTCTCCTTCCTATCTTCCCCCCTTTCTCTTCTCTCGTGCGCGAAGGCTTTAAAAAATATATAGTTGGCCAGCCGAGGGCCGAAAATAATTTTGAAAAGGCAAAGGAGAGAGGAGGATTAGACAGCTGCTCGGTTTCATAAAAACGAGAAAAGAATTAATTAATCAACGTTGAAAAATTCAAAAAGTTTTTGTGAATGCTGAAATTCGAAGCCTTTACTGATCAGTAATTTTCTTTAAGAACTTCTTAATTAATCAAAGGCTTGTTTAAATTACCCCAGGAAAAGTGGATCATTCTGGATTGAAACAAGCAAGACAATTCAGTAAAAAATACTAATCAGTCAACAACCATTCAACTAAAATTAAAATAAACATATCTATATTTTAGATTAAAAGATCAGTCTAATCAAAACTTCCGAGTTTAACGTTGAAAAACACAAACTTTAGACTGTATTTAAAACCCCCCAAAAAAGCAACTGGAAAATTCAAAGTAAAAATCAGAAAAATATCATTTGCCACAGTCCTTCACTCACTCTCGTAAAGATCAACAACTTGGAAACGTAAAGAAGAGATGATGATATTTTCAAGGAGGCTTTGACTAATTTTTTGTTTTATTAAATTAATATATGTATCCTTTCTTATAGTAAATGCTACTAAAATGATAGACAAAAATTTTGTTAAAAAAATAATTAATGAATATATGATTTTGGTTGTTGTTTGTTGTTGTTGTTTTTAGAGAGAAGGGGAAGGGAGGGGAGGGAGAGAAGGAAATGTTTATTCCACGCATAGCAACGTTTTTGTAATTTATTTTTATTTATTTATATTTTTATCAAGTCTCGTCCACTATTTTTTCTAATCAATCAAAAATAGTCAATAAATAAAGTGAAAATAAGAGAAAATAAAAATTAATAAAATGATAAGAATTGTAAAAAATAAATTGGGAATTTGAAGTAATTAAAGATAACAAAATAATGTTAGAGAATTAGGTAAAGATCAGCATATATTCTCTCTTGTTTTTGTTTTAATTAAAGAAACAGAAAACAGTAAGTACAAATGAAAAACAAATAAAATAAAAAAAAATTCATAGAAAATCAGAATAAAAGTAGAATTAAAAATGAATATTGAAATCAGAACAAAATTAGACTCAAAAAATCAAAACAGAATCGAATTAAAATAAGAATTAAATCAGAATTAAATCTCAAAATTAAAAATCAGAACGTTATTAAAATCTGAATTGAAATTGGAATAAAAATCAGAAAAAGAATTAGAATTAAATTTCAGAATAAAAAATAATATTTAAATCCATTAATAAAAATTTGTCAGTTTTTATAAGAGTAACCAATAAAAATATCCTCAAAAATAAATAAAATGTTTACTACAAAATTAATAGTATTTTAATCAATAAATTTTGTAATTTTCAGAATTCTGCAAAAATGAATTTTATTTTCTAGAGGATTAAAAAAACTATTTCACTCTATGTATTGTTTTGTGTTTGTATTTTTAGTTAATTTTAAAAGAAAGGGGGGGGGGGGAATAGCAGCAGCAGTCCTCATTTTCACTTCAACTTTTTGGAAATCAGCTTGTGAGAAGTATAAAAAGGGAAAAAGTTAAAAAACCGATGGGGAAATAGAGCGTTGCCAACTAATAAAAGTAAAAAAAGAGTTGAGAAAAAAAACGCGGCACGACTGGCTCGATGAAAAGACAAAAACGGCATGCACCCAACAACGACTACCACCATCACACCCTTTTCTTTTCTTTAACTGTCAGCGTGTTTAAATTCTCTATAATACTCTCTTTTCTCTAACTTTGTTATTATTGCCAGCCTCTGTTCTCTGTAGTTTTTAGTCCGGAAAGATTTGCAAATGCCGGCAAAACCCCCAAACGACAAAATAGTAATACTCTATTTTTTTGTTCTTGCAGCTCTAAACAGAATTTCGAATCTGAAGTTTAGGGTTCCAGACCTGAGCCCAATTTTTGAATAACAAATAAAAAATTTAGGACAGGAATGAGTGAAATTTATAAAAATAAATCCACAATGTCATTTGACATTTTGTCGGGACTTTAAAAAATGCACTATCTCATTCTCTCGTTATTCCATGTCTGTCTCTTCAAGTCTCTCACCAGCTTGACCCCTCTAATCTTTTTTTCTCTACGTTTAGAAAGTAACTTATTAAATGCTACGTTAAAGAGAATAACTGAGAGAGGGATATATTGAAGGATATTTTGAAGAGAACATTGAGTAAAAAAAGCAAAAGAAAATAAAAATACACGTAATAAATGTTCAGTCAGCGAATTTTGGAAGGGTGAAGAATAAAAAAAGCAGAGAGGAAATCGAAGAAGGGCAGCCGTTCTGAAAGAAGAAAGGGCTGGAAAAAAGGGAGGTATTTTCTTTCATCCGTTCCTTTTTAATAGTGAAAAAATTGATTGACTAGAAAAAGCTAAATAATAGTGAAAAGATTAAATAGAACAAAAGAATAAATTGAAATGATTTTTTGGGGGATGGGGGGAGAAAATGAACGAATAAATGAAAAAAAGTTTTAAGATTAATATTTTTATTTTGATGGAAAGAGGTCAAATGACCCAGAAGGTCAAGCTCCTATTGGTAAATTACACAGAAGGTCAAATCCAAATATTTGGGAGATAAAGGACAATTTATAGCAATATCGTAGGATTAAGTGGATAAACAGATTTAGAAGATCAAGTGGATCCCTCAAGAGGGATATGGGGGATATCTCCGATACCCGCCCAAATCCTAGGATATCACGATAATATTGTCCTTAATCCTACAATATTCCTGATCTCAACCTTATTACCTTATACAACCTTAATTCATCAAATCCACTCGATATGGGACTGGGCCGTTTTGGCGCGGGGCCGTTTTGGCGCGAGCTTATAAGATAGCGAGTTGGTTATCAAAAATGATAAAATTTTGTAGTAATAACTCTTGTACCTTTATCTAAGTTCTCCAAAAATTTCAGAATTTTTGAGCAAGAATTTTAGAAATTATGGTCAAAAATGTTGATTTTCTGAAAAATGCCTAATTTTTCAAGACCTATCGACTATAACTTCAGAAATATTTGATGAAAAATTCTGAAATTTTTGGACGAGGTAGCCAAGGATGTTAATGAAATTTGAGAAAATTTTTATGAAGTAGGTCTCGCCTAAGTGCCACTTTTTTGTTTTCGCGCCAAAACGGCCCGGCGCCAAAACGACCCCAACCCCTCGATATCCATTAAATCACTGATATCCCACAATTCTCTCAATATCATACGAATCTCTTAATTTTAATTTCTACTAATCTCTTAATCCCCCTCTAAGATAAGCTCTTTCCCTAAAATGCCTACTTTAGGAAATGATTCTGGAAACTTTTCAAAGTTATGGGTTTGCGCCATTTTGGCCTTATGCCTTTACGGTCTGCGCCTTTTTGGTGTCCCATTTTGCGGATTTACAAAAAACGTTTTTATGGGTTGTTTTTGATGGAAATTATGTTGAGCAAACAGTGTCAATTATAAATGGCTAATAAACTGTCGTTTAACCAATTAAAAGCCTAATATTTAGCTTATTACTTTTTAATTATAAGCCCTCATATTTTCTTTATAATTAACGCTATAATTTAGACATATCTTTTAAGGAAATAATTTTTAATGGGAGATTCATCAACTTTATCAGCTTCAAAGGAAAAGGAAAAATCCAAACAACCTCAACCTTCTACACAAATTCGTTCTTTAGAAGGCGGCTTTCCTACTCTTTTAGTTTTTGTGATACTTGGATTGGCTTGGCTAGTTGGTTTTGCTTCTAGACTTTTTGCTATTGTTCGGTTTGAATCGATAATTCATGAATTTGATCCTTGGTAACTCTTCAAGTTTCTTTTTCTAATTTTTTCAAAATTTTATAGGTTTAATTATCGTTCAACTCAATATATGGTGGAGAACGGATTTTATAATTTTTTGAATTGGTTTGATGGTTTGTTTGATTTATATTTAGTGAGAATGTGGAGACTGACGGGGGCTGAAAGTCTTTTCTTTAAAGTGTTATTCACGTCCAGTTGATTTTCTCCTTTGACGTCTCAAATGTCCCTAAAATCTCAATTTGAACCACCGCATGCGAAAATTAACCCTCATTAACGTTTATAAATGTTACTTATTTTAAATAGAAAGTATCGCTTGGGGCAGCTCCCTCCACCCATTAGCCATCCAAAGATATTTTGGGAGTATTTTATAGTGATACCCAACTTAAAAATTAATTTTTAGAAAGAGCTTGGTATCCACTTGGACGTATCGTTGGTGGTACTATTTATCCTGGATTGATGTTAACAAGTGGTTATATTCACTATTTACTTTCTTGTTTGAATATACCTGTCCATATACGAGATATTTGTGTTTTCCTTGCCCCAACATTTAGGTAAGTGAAAGAATTTCTTTTTAGAATTAAAATTTTATTTAGCGGTCTTACTGCAATTGCTACTTATCTTTTAACGAAAGAACTTTGGTCAACAGGTGCTGGACTTTTTGCTGCTTGTTTTATTGCAATTTCTCCTGGATATACAAGGTTTTTTTTAAAAATATTTTCTGAAAATTTTTTTTCAGTCGGTCTGTTGCTGGTTCTTATGACAATGAAGGAATTGCCATTTTTGCTCTTCAATTCACTTATTTCCTTTGGGTTCGTTCTGTCAAGACTGGATCTGTTTTTTGGGCGGTTCTCACTGCTTTGTCTTATTTTTACATGGTTTCAGCATGGGGCGGTTATGTTTTTATGTAATTTGTTTGTTTTAAATTTTCTAATAAATATTTTTTAAGTATTAATTTAATTCCTCTTCATGTTCTTGTTCTGGTTATTAGTGGAAATTACACAAACAAGGTATATATCTTTGCTTTAAAAATATATATAAAGTTATTCACATTTATTTGGTTTTTTAAAAATATAAACTTTTCTTCCCCCAAATAAGGGAAAACCTAGGACAGAATCAGTTTTGCTTATGGATCTCTAAAATTCCTGAAAGGGAATTCTTGCCACTGTCTTAGGTTATTTTAATTCATAAACGTTTTTTCCTTTCATCCTTAATTTCCATTAAAGTCTTTACCTTTTATTCTCTTATTTTTCATATACCTTTCACATTTTTTTAACCAATAAACTAATTTTTAGATTTACGTTGCTTACACAACTTTCTATATTCTTGGCCAACTTATGGCAATGCAAGTCCCTTTTGTCGGCTTCCAACCAGTTAAGACTAGTGAACATATGGCTGCTTTTGGAATTTTTGGTTTATTACAGGTTTGGTTTTCTTCTTTATTAAAAAAAATTTTTTTCAGTTGGTTGGTGCTTTGAAATTTGTCCAAGGACGTTTAACTCAAAAACAATTTTTTGCTTTATTTGCCGGTGTCATTCTTTTTACTTTTTCTATTGGAATTTTGATTTTAATGCTTTTAACATATGCTGGTTATTTGAAAATTCTTTGAGAAAAATAATGAAATTTTATTTTTAAGGTTATGTTGCTCCTTGGACGGGTCGTTTTTATTCACTTTGGGACACTGGTTATGCCAAAATACATATTCCTATAATTGCTAGTGTTAGCGAACATCAACCTACGTTTGTTTAAATAATTTTTTGTTGAGGATTAATATTATAAAAATGTCTAATTGTGAGTTATTCTTCCATGTAGAATGCCTGGATTAATTCTCAAACACTGACCAGTTCCGGATTATGGGCTATTAGGCCAGGATAAACCCAGAAACTCAGAAATACTCATGTTTTGGCCCAGGCCCAGCTCTATCCCTCTTTTAAATTAAAACTACATTAAATACTTTTTAGAACTTGGGTCTCTTTCTTTTTTGATTTGCATATTACCGCAGCTGTCTTTCCCGCTGGACTTTGGTTTTGTGTTAAAAATGTTAATAGTGAACGTCTTTTTGGTTATTTTTAATTTTATTTATTTACATTATATTAATTTTTAAGTTATTCTTTATGCTGTTACTGCCGTTTATTTTGCTGGTGTAATGGTCAGGTTAATGCTTACTCTAACTCCGGTTGTTTGTGTCCTTTCTGGCATAGCTTTCTCTTGTATTTTTGAAAAATATATGCTTGAAGATGTTGAACAGAAGAAAGCTGGGGAAGGAAAGGATTTGAAAGATGGGATGGGAGGTTAGCTTACTTTTAATTTTGTTTTTGAGTTATTAGTTGGCTTTGTTCTCTACTCTAAAATTTTCTACAAAATTCTTTTTTAAATTTATACAAAATTTTTTAGATAGACGACTTTATGATAAAGCAACAGCTAAAATTGGAAAGCAACAAAAAGCTGCTCAAACAGCTGCAGCTTCATTTAGTCCAGCAATTGGTGCTTCTGATGTTACTGATCATATTGGAATGAATACGAGGTTTTTTAGTGTCCCGCGCGTATCAGCGCCAAAATTTTATCACCACCAGCACTTATTTTATGCATTATATAAATATAGCCTTGATGAGAGATTTTTTCCCGGTTGTTTTGCGATAAAATTCCGTTGTACATTATGGAATAAAACAGTTATTGATTAGTTGAACATTTATTTGATTCAGGAAATTATCGGCGTCAAGTTGAGCAAGCGGTAAGGGGTATACCTATTTCATTAGAATATGCACTTCGGAATTTTTGGCATTGTTTATGATTTTCATTTTTACTTGGATCAATATGTACAACGTCTCAGGGCACCCTGAAACTAGAAAATCTCGATTTTTCAAGGCTAATTCTTGCAAACTTGACACGCTTAATTTGTCTATATTCGTCCCAGATGAGCGAACTTTGTTGGAATTCTACTTTTAATTTTACTATTTTTTTAGATCTATCGTTCTCGTAGCTATGTTATTCATTTTGCTAATGTATGTTGCACATTGCACTTATGTAACTAGCAATGCATATTCACATCCAAGCGTTGTTCTTCAATCTCATACAAGCGATGGGTTTTATTTTTGTTCTATTTTTTTTATTTTTTAAATTTCAGTGGACGTATAATTATGGACGACTTTCGAGAAGCTTATTATTGGCTTAGAAAGAACACTCCAGATGATGCTAGAATAATGTCATGGTGGGATTATGGTTATCAGATTGCTGGAATGGCAAATCGAACAACTCTTGTTGATAATAATACTTGGAATAATTCACATATTGCTTTGGTTGGAATGGCAATGTCAAGCAATGAATCTTTTGCTTATGAAATTATGAGGGATTTGGATGTTAATTATGTTTTAGGTTTGTATTTTTATTTAATTTTGGGGATAATTTTATGTTTTTTTTGAAAAATGTTAACTCACATTGTGTTATTTTTGGGGCTTATTTCTTAAACGGAGCTTTCTTACTTTCCATTTTTAGTAATCTTTGGTGGGGTGATTGGTTACAGTGGTGATGATATAAACAAATTTTTGTGGATGGTTCGAATTGCTGAAGGTGAACACCCAAAAATTGTAAGTTTTTTTTATTTTTATTTAAAATATTATTTTATTAAGATACGTGAAGGTGACTATTTTACCGAATCAGGAGAGTACAGTGTTGGAGCACAAGCATCTAGAACTATGCTGGATTCGATTATGTATAAAATGTCTTATTATCGATTTGGCGAATTAAGGGTATTTTTTTTAATTTTCTAACCTAAGAGGATACCCCCAGAATTAGAATACCTCAATTTATGATACACCTCATGATAAGATAGGATTTTTTCAGCTCCAAGTGTTTTATCTTTTAGTGAATGTCGATTTTAATTCTTTAATTTTTTATTAAGATTGGCTACAATCAACCTCCAGGTTTTGACCGGACAAGAGGTTATCCAATTGGAAGAAAAGATTTTTCATTGGAAAAATTGGAAGAGGCCTACACTACAGAGAATTGGCTAGTTCGTATATATAAAGTTGTTGATCCACCAAATCGTCCATCAATAAAATATAAAGATAGACAAATTAAAGGAAAGAAATTTGTTAGTAAAAAGGTTGGGGGTTTCTTTGTTTAAAAAATTATTTTTTTAATAATATTTTTAAGACAAAATCCAACAAAAAGGGAACTATTCGACCATTAACTGCAATAAACACAAAAACTGAACAATCTAACAACAATAAACAAAAAGTTGTTGAGAAGAAGAAATGAGAAAATTTTATTTTCTTTTATCAAAAATGGAAGTTGTGATGCTATTTTAATAAGACAAAAAAAAAATTTTAAAGAGGTAAAATATATTCTAGTTTTTTTAATTCCGGACTTTCACGGAACGGTTAAATTACTTATAAATTCTCTCCTCCATTTTTTTTTTGAAATTCTTTCAATGTTTTTAATATATAAGACTGGATATTTAAAAAATTGTTGTTAGGAACAAGTGTGCACCCCCTAAGAGTAGGACGACTTTGCCAGCAATTATCGATAGATTATTTTTACTTATTCATTCCAAAAGTGCAAACACAATAATCCCAAAATAAAAAGCAAATAAATAGGTAACATATCACAGGTTTAATGGCAGTCTCGGAATCCATAATGGTTCTATCCCATTTCCAGTCCAAAGCATAAAAATTTCAATATCTTTACATCCTTAATATCAAGCTAATTAACTAGAATAATTTTATCTTATTTTGTTGGTGTTTTAATTATTCTTTTAATATTTGTTTTGCTTTCGGTTTTTTTTTGTTTATTTTCTCTTCATTCTTTCAATTCCTTTTTTTGAACTGTCTCTATACTAAAAATTTAATTTTTTTTTGATCTTGTCTTTATTTTTATTTAATTTCACCTCTTACCAGGGAAAATCAAAGAGAGACGATATTTAAAATTTACCTATTTAAAAAGACAAAAATTATTTATTTTTTAAATATTTAATTATTTTTGTTGTTAAAAATCATCGAAATAAATTAATAAAAAAATTTGTTAAATCATTTTTTTAAGTTTAAAAATTTTTCTTTTAATATTTTTTTAGAAAATGAATTTTTTGAGTTCTAAATTAGTTTTTAGATCGTTTTCTTCTATAATGACAAAAACTGCTCTAATTATCGGATCTGATGGATCTGAAGATATTGAATTAATTGTGACTAGTGATGTTTTGCGTAGAGCTGGTTTGTTTTGATTTTTTTATAATTTTGGGGTAACTAAAATAGTGGGTGGGTGCGGAAACTTGGAAATGAGGACAGGATCGGTATGTATCTGTCTGGGGCTAAACTTTAAGTTACATATTATGTTAACTTTTCCTTTCTGAATTTCTAAAATTTTTTTGTTTAAGGAATTGATGTGACTATTGCTGGTTTACAAGACGAGAAACACATCACTCTAGCTCGTAAAGCAATACTTCAAGTTGATGCTTTATTTAAGGATATAGCAGAAAAGGAATTTGATGCTGTTATTTTACCTGGAGGTTTTTAAATATTTTTAGAAAATCAAAAAAAATTTTCATAGGCCAGCCTGGATCAGACAATCTTGCAAAAGTAGGCTTGAATTTTATCTTAAATTATTAAATTAAAAACTTTCTGGTTATCTAAAAAGCACAATTAACTTGTGATTTGACGGTATTTTCGATGTTTATCTGTATTCCGTATCGGTATTACTGACGGAATCATTACAATAAACAATATTGGGGATTTGCTTTTCATTTGATTCCACAAATAGGGTTGTAGTTGAAATAAAAAAGTGTAGCAGTCAAATTACGAAATAAGGTGTTAAATTGGAGATAACGCTTAGTTTAACCAAAAATTTAAAGTAGTTTTATATTTATCTAATATTGGGGGTATTCGAGGCTTTTAAAATAAGATAAAATATTTTGAGGATGAACGTGTTGGCAAACTTCTTCAACGTCACGAAAAAGAAGGTAAAATTGTTGCTGCAATTTGTGCTGCCCCGATAGCTTTAGTCAGTCATGGAATTGCCAAAAAAGAAGGAGGGGGGACTTTAACTTCATATCCGGCAGTTAAAGAAAAAATAATTGCTGGAGGTTATAATTATTCTGAGGACAAAGTTTGTGTTTGGAAAAATGTTGTTACAAGCCGTGGACCTGGAACTGCTTTTCTTTTTAGTCTAAAATTGGTTGAAATGTTGACTGATTTGGAGAAGTCTGAAACTGTAAAGAAGGCTTTGCTTTATGATATTTGAATAAAAAAATAATTTTTTTTGATAAAAAATTAGAATATTTATTTTAAAATATTTATTTTTAGGAATTAATTTTATATGAATATTTTATTTTAAATTATAAAGTATTTGGATTTTGATTTTTTTGTTATTTTTATTTTGTTTATTGAATCCTTTTATTTTCTTAATTTTATTTTCTTTGAATTAAATTTTTTTTATTTTAAAAATCTAGACATTTTTTAAATAATTTTTTATGTCCTCAACAATTCCCAGAATTATTCAACTTTCACAAAATGTTGTAGACAAAATTGCTGCTGGAGAAGGTTTTTTTTATTTTACTTAAAAATTGAAGATAATTATTAAATTCAATAGGCTCCGTTCTGTGACTTTCCCAAAGCTTCCTAAAAATCACTTCTAAACTTTAAAAATACTTTTTTTATCCTTTAAGTTGTTATTCGCCCAGTGAATGCTGTAAAAGAACTTGTTGAAAATAGTTTAGATGCTGGGGCTACAGGTTATTTTTTGTGATTTGTATTTTAAAGAATTTAATTTTTAGAAGTTAATGTTTCGATTCGTGCTGGAGGATTGGAATTAATTAAAATTCAAGTATTTTTTAAATTTCATTAGGTTTCTACTTGGGTACTGAAAGTTGGAGAATCGACTTTTTCTGACAATAAGAATCCCTTCCTGTCGATTTTCTTCACCTATCCCCGTGACTTTGCCTTCCCAAAAAAATTTTTCGAGGCCCTTCCCTGCCCATTAATTTATTTAAATAATATTTCTTTTTTGGATAATGGGCACGGAATTAATAGAGAAGAATTGTCCATTGCTTGTTGTCGCTTTACAACTTCAAAATTGCGTGAATTTGAGGATTTACAAAAAATTCAAACTTTTGGTTTTCGTGGAGAGGCTTTAGCTTCTATTTCTTTGGTTTCTAATTTAATTATCACAACAAGGACAGCAAATGAAATTTGTGCTTCTAAAGCTTGTTTTAAAGGTTTTTTTGAAAATTTTTTTTTGAAGTATTTTTTTTCTAAAATTGAGCTCGGATAGTCCGAATACTGCTGAGGGAAAATAAGAGAAGAAATAAAATAAGGGGCTCCTATTTCAAAATTCTAAAATTTCTCACAAAAATTTTTTAGAGGGAAAATTAATTGGACAAATTGAACGGTCAGCAGGTCTTTTAGGAACAACAATTTGTGTTGAAAAACTTTTTCAAAATATGCCTTCCAGATTAGCAGCTTTTCGGCAACCGAGTGAAGAAGCTAATAAAATTGCTGATATTTTAGTTTGGTTTTTTAAAGAAAAAATTTTTTTATTTTAAATTTTATAGATTCGTTATTCTATTCATTATCCAAAAATTTCTTTTTCTTATCGTCGTCTAGATGGAAATGGCTATGATTTTAGAACATCTGGGGATGGGGTAAGGATTTTAATATTTTCTTAAATTATTTAATAAAAAAATAGTTTTTTAGGATCAACATGGCACAATAAAAAGGCTTCTTCATGAAAAAGCATCTAATGTTAGTTTTTGGAGGGTTTTTCCACTATATTCCTAAAAGTCCGCAAATTTTGTCTGCAAGATAAATAGAAATAATAAACAGTTGTTTACAGCACCGGATTGGATCAGGCAGAATTTTTCCGAAGTCCAGACCCAAATCCCCTGACTGAATTGCTTCCGGACCTGATTAGTCCAGAAAAATCTGGCCGGATCCAAATCCGTTTCTGGAATATTTATTCTGACGGTCACTAATAAATAAAATGATTTGCGGACGGAACCTAAATCTTCCATTATTTCAAATTTAACTTTTAGGGATTGACAAATTTAGAATTTAACAATTCTTCTCTACACTTCTCTGCCAAAATTTGTTTAGCTACACCTGTGGCTATTTTTACTTCAAAAGCAGTCCAAACACGAAATGTATAGTTAAAAAACATTTTTTGTTGTTTCTAATATTTTTTAAAAATTTTAGGACAAAATAAAAATCTTCCACCTGTGAGTTTTTAATTTTCCTTTCCTTATAGGAATTGAAGCATCCTTTTATAGTTAATACTATTAACCAAGATAACTTTTTGTGGAAAATAAATACTTTTCCCTTCCTTTGTCAGTATTTCAGCGCCATTCATTCACTAAAATATTAAAAAATATTTTTTAGTTTTGTGAATGGTCGTTCAGTAGAATCTTTTAGACTTCAAAAATCTTTTGATTCAATTTTTACTTCAAGAGATTTACTTTGCCCTTTTGCCAGTTTTTCTTTATTAATTGATCCTCAACGTGTTGATGTAAATATACACCCTACAAAGAAATTAGTTTATTTTTTATGTGAAGATGGTGAGTAGTAGAAAATTTATTTTTTAATTTTAAAAATTTATTTTTTAAAGATATTATTGAATTTATTGGAAAGGTAAAAAGGAAATACTTTTTTTTAATTTAAATGATCTATTGAAGGGAGAGGAAGGAGAGAGAGGGGAGGGGAGAGAGTCCCCCATCTGCTAACATTTAAGTTTACTGAAAGAAAACTATTTAAAAAAAGGATCCGGTGATTCAGGTGTAAGCATCTATACGTGTTAAGGGAAATGCTTTTCTGCCAGTAGTTCGCATGTTCTGTGCCTGCCCCCACGACCTAATTTTTCTACCTCTCTCTCTCTCATTTATCCTTTCAAGTAAATAGGTACCTTGTTCTTAACTGACAATGGTCAAAATTTTTATACTACGGTTCCTGATTGTTAATTTAATTGTTATTTTCTAGCAAATAGAAAAATTTGTCAATGAAATCCAATCTCGTCAATCACTACAAATTAACAATTTAAATGAGGAATTAGAAGGAGATTGTTCTAAGAAAAACAAAAATAATCGAAAAAGAAAAGCTGGAAATGAAAAAGAAATTATTTCTGGGGAAAATTTAAAAAATTTAAATAATTTAAATTGTTCTTCTCTTCCTTCTTCAAGTTCTTCTTTTTTAAATGTTTCTTCAAAAGTTCAATCAAATTCGCCAAAAGTTGCACCAAAAAATGTAAATTTTTCTTAAATAAATTTTGCCTAAAAACTAATTTAAATCGAGCCTTCCCCCATAAATACATTTTTGGGGTAAAAACGGAAATTGTTTTTTTAGAATTTTAGGGGGCCGAGAAGTTGTGTATTTCCCTGTTTTCTGACGAGAGGAATAAAAGAACCTATATCTGAACCGAAATTTTTGAATATTCAGACTTAACCAAAAAATCCTTGGTTCTTTCTTACTCGGGACAGAAGTAGAAAATACAAGGTGGAAATTCTGACTTTATTTAATTTTCAGAAAATTCGCGTAGATTTTTTAAATCGAAGTTTGGATGAATTTGTTTTGACAAATGAAGATTTAAATTTACGTCCAAATTCTTCTGTTAGGCTTTCTCTTTTAAAAAAAGTTGCTTTTGAAGAAGAAAATAACGAAGAAGGGGGTTCAAATATAAATCCAATTGAAATAAATGAAATTGAAAGGGAAAATGGAGAAAATATTGGTGGAAAAACAAATAATAAAAATGATTCTCAGGTGGGTGGGGGAAATAAAGGAAATTTTAAAATAACATTCCTCAATTAATTTCCACGTTGAAAAAGGGTACATTGGCCTGCCCCCATTGCGGGGTACATTGGCCTGCCCCCATTGCGGGGTACATTGGCCTGCCCCCATTGCGGGGTACATTGGCCTGCCCCCATTGCGGGGTACATTGGCCTGCCCCCATTAGAAACTAATTTAAAAATTTTTTAAGGTAGATTGTTGTATTCCAAGAGAATTTTCTTTTAATTCTCTTGTTGATTTGAGAAGAGAAATTTGTCAAAAAGCAGATAATAAATTAGTTGAATTATTTAAAAAACATTTATTAATTGGATTTTTTGATTCAGAAAATGCTCTTATTCAATCAGAAAATAATGTTTATTTAATTAATAATCAAAAAATTCTTCGACAGTTTTTCTATCAGGTAAGGGGGGGGGGGGTAGAGGGATAATGATTACTTGCCTTAGTTCGATCTCTAAATATTTTTTTCTTTTATTTTTTACTATAGCTTAAAACTTCTCTTTTTTTCTAGTTAATTATTTTTTCTTTTGGAAATATGGGTGCCTATGATTTAATAATTCAATCAGAAAATTCTTCAACAAAAAATCTTTCAATTTACAAATTACTTTTATTAGAAGAAGAGGAAAAGGAGAAGAAAATAGCCAATTTATGTCAAATTCTTGTTAAAAATAGAGAAATTCTTTGGGATTTTTTCTCAATTAAAATAATTTTAAATTCAATTAATGAAGGTTTTAAATTAATATTTTCTTCAATTTTAAGCATTTTTAGATGCTGTTTTGGCAGCAATTCCTTGCCTTATTAACGGTTATTTGCCTGAAATGGAGGGATTGCCCTTACTTTTATATAAATTGGCTAATGTTAACTATGAAGATGTGAGTTTGAGTTCGAAGGGGCTAGAAAATTGTGTCTTATAATTAAGTGTCACTTAACTAGAAGGGTATCACGCTTAGTTCCCCCCAGCTACTATTCTGAAGAATTGAAGTGTCTGGACAAATTCCATAATTCCACAAATTCAATACTAGGATAACCTCTATTTGAGATAGGCTTTTAGATTTTGTGGGCATTGTGAGGGAGATCGACCCTTAAACTGTAAAATCTATTTAAAATACAATTTTCCGGAGTACGACTGTACTTCAAGGACGGTAAAGGTCTTATTTCCTTCTCTCTTCTTTTCTTTACCCAATCTACCAAAAATAATTTAGGAAAAAAGTTGCTATTCTCAAATTGCTTTTGCTCTTGCTGATTTTCATCTTCCCTCAATAAGCGAAGAAGATTATGAAAATTTAAATGATGAACAACAAAATATTTTTAAAAAACAAAATTTGAGGGTTCAGAGAACTCTTCGTTCTTTGATTTTTCCAGCTTTACGAAACAGATTTTTGCCTAGTTCAGAATTAGAAGAATATATCAAAGAATTAACTTCAACTGCTAAAGCTTTTAAACATTTTGGACGTTGTTAATTTATTTTTTGTTTTTAATAAACAATTGATTTACTACTGACTTATTTAGGATTTATTTTAAGTTGTAAGCTCAGAGGGTTTATCGGTAAATGTGGAGTTTACTATTCCCTAGAGTTTATGAATTACTCTTTTGAGTTACGAATTACGAAAATATCGGAAAAAATTACGAAAAATCCAAAAGGACTCCCCAGCAACCGATTAAACCAGAAACGTTTCTATTTGACTGATCCAACTCAGGTTTTATCTATCCATTATGGACGGTCATTAAAGGTGAAATCCTCACTTTCCACATAAATATACTTACTTAGGTCTAATTATTGGTACTTTATGGATATGTCACCCCCCTCCTATTTTGAGTCTCAGAGCTTTTCTTATGCGTAGAAAATGGTCAGGGATTATTTTCTTCTCCATGTCAATCATTTTTTTCTTCTTCAAGTATTTTGCTTTTTTATTTTGCCTTTTCTACATATTTTTGAATTTTGTACTTACATTTCACTCATTTCGTTTCCACATTTCACTTATTTTGCTTGATGAAAAAAATGATTGACATGGAGAAGAAAATAATCTCTGACCATTTTCTACGCATAAGGAAAACTCTGAGACTCAAAATAGGAGGGGGGTGACATATCCATAAAGTACCTAATTATTTATCAAAAACACTTGTTTAAAATATCAAGTTAAAATTTTAAATTTATCCGACTAACTTGTAAATATAAGTTTTTTCAAAAATATGGACAAAATGTGGAAAATTCTTGGCAAAATATCAAATTAAAGAATTAAGATGGATTCTTTTACATAAATTTGGATATTTGGAAAATTAAAATGATTGAGTAGATCCATCTGAGAATCAAAAATTGTTCCGGGTTGTAAAGAAAGAAAAATTGTTCTTATACATTATGACCTCATTTGTAAATAATCCCCAAAACTAGATATACTTCGAGTTAAAAATATAGCTTTAAAATTTTGATTAGCTAGTGCGAGTGGCTGGTACCCAAACCGAGCATTGGTTCCAACAATTCTTCAAGTCCCAAAGGGTATCCTACAAGTGAGGTCTTCGACAATAATTGACAAGAATAAACACACAACCCTTACCCCTCCCTCCTTTAAGTAATTCTCATTGTTTCACAACAGTCACAGTATCCTCCAATTCACGCTTTCTTTGCCTTCTCTGAGCATCACGCATTGCATTATGTGCTTTCCTCTGTTCACTTGTCATCTTCTTTGATGAATATTAGTAAGAAAGTTTAAAAAAATAAAACTCACTTGATATTTAACGCGAGCAGCTTCTGCTCTCTTGGCTCTACGCAATCTGGCTTGTTCAATAGCAGTGCGAAGACTCTAAAAATTACAGGATTCAATAATAAATTATTCCAGATGGAACTCGTTATAAGATAAAATCTTGGTTATAGCTGTCCTTATAATGAGATGTAGTATCTTAAACTCCCTCGGCCAATGGCAAACTAAAGTTGATGTGATCTATTACAAGTGTATCTTATAGTAAAATTCGATTGTAGTAGTAGATACTGGGAAACTCCGCTATTTAGCTTGTTATAGATTTAGGTGGTTAATAAAAAGTCAGTTCGGTTTTTAGTTTCGGTTTCGGATACCCAAAGATTTTCCAAAAAGCAACAACTTCACTCATAAACTAATGTCATTTCCCAAAAATTCTAATCTTTCAACTCTCACCATCTCCAAATTTTAAAAATATATAAAAAACAAACATCCTCTGGTTCTTGTCCTTTTGTATTCATATCATCACCCAAACGACACAATTCTTCCTAAAAATGTTAACGATTTAAAAAATTTAAAATAAAACTTACATCCCTCAGTCTTGCCATTTTTAAAGAAAGTGCTCTTTTAGCATTAAATTCATGACGTGCTTCAGCAGACATTTCATGGTATCTTTAAAATATTATCTCAACTTTATCAACATCAATTTTTATTTTTTATTGTCTACAACCTTCTCCTTGCACGTTCTGCACGTTTAGCCTTTTGCAATAACAATTTTTGATCGTTTGAATTATGAGGGTCCATAACACGTTGTTTAGACGATGACATACCTGTAAAGAGGGAAGATATTTTTAGTGCTTAAGTGTGGGGGAGGGGGGGGGGAAGGTGTAGGATCTATAGTAGATACCGTATTTTCTCTAAAATAGCCCCCCTCTAGAGGACGATCGGAAAAATAGCCCCCGGGGGCTATTTTAGAGAAAATACGGTATATTATATTAGATACTACCACGTGATAAGCGAAGCTTTTAGATAAAATAACTGTTAGTCTTAGGCCAATATTTGATTGCTAAACTCTTTTACTCACCAGAAGAAATAGAGGAACGACTAGCAATAATTTGATGATGTTCAGTTTTTGGAATTATAAAAGTTTGTTGTTGTTGATTTTGTTGTAATGGATTGCTAGTATAATGACGACGTGAAGATGCTAACGAAGTTGAAGAAGAACTAGCAGCTAATAATGTTGTAGATGAACCACTTGCTGTTGAAGTATGTTGACCACCAAAATTATTTGTATTATTAGTTGTTATTATTGTCGGTTGAACAATTTCAATTCGTGTCGGAGGATTTAAATGATGATGATGATCTATAGTTGAAGTTGTAATATGATGACGTTGTTGTTGATGTGGTGGTGGTTCATGGTGAATTATAGAAACTGGATAATAATTACTTGTTCCACTACTACTTGGGCCGGCATCGAATTTTGAGGTTGAAGCTTCTTGAATCTATTTTTTGATAAAAATTAAAGGCAAAAAATAAAAAGGAAGAAAAATACCACTGTATAAGACTGTGGCCCTGACGTTTGAATTCCACTATCTGTATGAACTTGAACAAATTTATTGTCAGCGATGATAAAGCCGTTTGGAACACTTCGTGCAGGTACCTGAAAAATAAATATATTAAGAATAGGATTGGATATAAGGCAAGGGTAGCCGGGGTCGGATTTCAGGGGGCTAAAATTGAGTGCTTTTAGTCTCCTGAAATCCCCCCTCTCCCATTCCTTTTTTAAATTATAAAAATAAAACCTGAACATATTGAACAACATTTCCTCCAGAAAGTTGCTGTTGAGTAATATTTATAGGTGACTGAACTATAGTATGAGTAGTTGTTCCTACTCCTCTATCTGGGACCACAAAATGATGTTGTTTGTCGTCTAAAGTGCCAACAGTTTCCTCTTTTTTCAATTCATTTTGTTGCATTTTTAATAAAGTTTGTCGTGCTTCTTCTGTCTTTCTGACAACATCACGTTCGATTGTATCCAAAATTTGATCTTAAAAAATTTTTTTAAATCAGGAATTTTGAATTTTATAAGTCCCATCTTTCTGGAATAAAAATTTGTTATAACTGTAGAATTCAAACAACTATCTTGTAAATCTATCGAAAATAGGGCACCACAAAATGGGACACAAAAATAGGTCACACAAACATACATACTTCGATTCAGATAACACTAAAACATGTCCGAACGAAAATAAAATTAAGTTTCGGTTTCAATTGTAAACTTAATTAGGGTCTCACGGTGGTAAAAAAGATGAATGGAAAAAGCTTATTTTTGTTTTCAAAAATTCGACAAAACAAAGGAAAATGGATAAAATTAAGGATAAAATTACAAAAAAAAACTAAAAAAAACCTAAATTCGGCTCAGCTGACTCATTTGCAGGTTCAGTTTTTGGTTTTCGTTGTCTTCTTGGCACAACACCTCTTTCTTGTTGCTTTCTTTGATATCTCAAACGTGCTTGTTCTGCTCTTTTTGCATTTCTTAGCATTATACTTTGCGCTTTTTCCAAAGCTTCCGGTGTAATCTGCCCTGCTGGTGTTGAAAGTAATTTCTCTTCTTCAACACGTCGCTTCCGGAAAGATTCAGTCCGTCTTCTATTATAAATTTTTCTTTCATCAGCCGTCTACAAAAGTAAAAAATTAAAATTAGAATAATCAGTTGTTGCTTTGATTTATATCAAAGGAATTCCCTAATCACAGGGAATTTCTCATTTTTTCAAAAATAGGAAATTCCGTATTTAATGGTAGGGAATTGCCGATTTTTGAAAAGTCGTCAGAATCCTTTCGATGTGTTATTCATTCCATAAAATGGAGAACCGGAACATTTAATAAAAAATTAAAAATAAATTAATTTTTCTTCATGATTAACCAGTTTTAAATTTAAAGCCTTTTTATGACAAAAAAGTTCGATATCAAACCTCTTTGCAAAACAACAAAATAATTACCATTCGATGATACCGTTGACGTGCCGCCTCAGCCTTTCTAGCATTAACTTCATTAATATGTCTTTTTATTTGTTCCAATTTTTGTCGTGGAACTTCTTCAATATTTTCGGGCAATCCAAGCTGTTTAAGCCTTCTTTTTTGGTTATATTCACGCCTCTCGTCAATCGACATAGTTTGATAACGACTTAATCTTGCACGTTTCCTTTGCAATGATTGTTCATCTAAAAGCACCAAATCATCTGTTATATCTAAAAATTTGAAAAATAAATTTAAAAAAAAGAATATGTAAAATTAAAAATAAATTTGGCATTATGTATGTCCGGACATTTTTTCTCGCGATCTCCAGACTATTTCTGACTGACAATGAACCGTACTGATTATAAAATTCAAAACCCGATCTTCGGAATTGAATAAATTTACTGAACAATTTTTTTTAATTTAGGACATTAGGACAAAAGGCCCATTTTATATTATTTAAAAATTTAAAACCATTAGTTGCACGAAGAATTGCCTCCAACTCTTCCATTTCTCGTTCTTTTTGTTTTTTTCGCTGACGCATAATAATGCGACGTTCAGTAAATATTCTTTTTTCGTCGTCACTGAGAAGAGCATAACGATTTCTTGCTGCTTCGGATAATTTTTGACGACGAAGTCTAAATTAAATATATACTTAAATGTTATAAGCCTATCCATCCCTAATAGAAGCCCAGGGCTCCATTTAGAATATTATGTATGTATTTTTGGGTGCTAGAATATACAAATTTTTAACTAAAGACAAACTTTTCTTGCATTGAAAGATTAGCATCATTTTTAGTCATAATGACAACATGTCTCTCTCCACTCCCCGTTGTAAATTCTTCTACAATTCCATCGTCATCATCGTTAGATTGGTCGTTGCCAATATAAGTATAAAAATCATGGCTATTACTCAAGGAAGTTGGGTCAAACTTGAAAATAAAGATTATATATTTATTCTTTAATTTTAAAAATTATCGGAACGTAGAAGCGACACTCTTTGGATTGCCCAAAACCGAAAATGTGAACCGACGCAATTTTGGAACCATTAGGAAAAAATGGTTCAATGGAATTTCAATTCAATGAATTTCAAAATCAAAAAACCCGTTCAATGAAATCTAGATAGTCAAATGACAGGAATAACACAATCTCAACCTCTACCAAACCCACCCCTGCTATCCCCCAAATCTATTTCTATTTCAAATTTTAAAGGCCCCCAAGTTAATTTATAAAAATTTAAACAACCTTAGTTTCGCAATTTGGACAAGCACAACCAGGAGGATGATAACCAACATTTCCAATGGGAATACTTCTAAACTGGTTATCTCCCGAAACGACCACAACTTGATTTGCATTTCCTCTAAGTTGTGGAGTATTACTTAACATTACTGGAGAAGAAGCAGCAGAAGTCCCAACCAGGCTAACTCTCGAATTTGGTGTTCGGTTGGAATAATAAATTTGTTGTTGACGTTGAGAACTTTGTTCTGAAGTACTCATTGCTTTAAACAAAAATTTGTTTAATTTAAAAAAAATAAAAAAAACATGAGAAAATATTTCGAGTTATTTAAAAACTCTTTTGAAAAAAAATGTTTAAAAAAAGTCATCAACTTTTATCAAAAATTCATTTTATAATGAGACAAAAAATAAAATAGTTAATAATACGACAAACTTCCCATTTTAAGCATGAAGACTAATAAACGAGAAGAACAAAAACTTTTAATATTTAAAACAGCCCTCCTCACGCATGTGTCAATGGAGGTGTCCTATGCGAAATATAATGATGTTGTTGTTGTGGTGGTGGTGGTGGTAACTGTTGTTGTTGTTGGGATGGTTGTTGGGGCTGTTGCTGTTGTTGACCACGCTGACGAAGCAAAATTTGATGTGCTTGTTGAGTACGCCTTAAAACGTCACGTTCAAGAGAAGAAAGAGCATCATATTCTTCTTCATCGTCTGATTTTTCAATTTTTAAATCTGGATCAACATCTGCCAAGATAACTTCCATTATTTGACGTTTACGTTTAGGAGTGTAACGTTTTTGGTTGTAAGCCCTTCGCTGTTCTGGTGTCTAAAAACGAATAAATTTTTTAATCCATTTTTTAAACAAAACAGAGATTTGACTCATTTTTTGGGAATAGTAATAGGGTTTATAAATACTTTTTACGTTCAAAGGATCTGGGGACTATCAGTTAACTTATTGTTCAAATTTTTGCAATATATCCCTCAAACTTGAAAATAATACAAGGACAAATTAACCTTCGTTTAATGGACGATAAAAACGGGAAAAGTTCAGAGCCAAAAGAGAATCTTAAAAAATTTTGTGGGGAAGTAAGGAAACTATTAGTTAAAGAGTAGGTAATGTAGAAAGTATTTAGTTGTGTCACTATATTTTTAGAAAAAATACGTTTTTATCCCTTTCTATAAGACAAATTAATTTCAAAAAATAAATTTAAACCATTCTTTGATAACGAAGCCGAGCAGCTTCAGCACGCTTAGCATTTCGAATAACAATTTGTTGTGCTCTATCAAGTGCCTCTCCATTAATTCTTCCTATAGGCATAGCCAAAAGAGTTTCTTCTTCCATCCTTCTACGTCGAAATGCTTCAGTCCTTCGCTGATTATACATCTTCTTTTCGTCATACGTCTAAAAATGGAAAATTTTTTCGTCAAATAAATTTAAAAAATAAAAATGTGATCTTTTAATGGAATCGGGGCTGTTAAAAATATAAATTTATTTAATTGAGTAATTGAAAATGAGGTTTCTTGGAGTCACTGATTTTTAAACTTAATTTTAGAAAAAACTTTATTATTAGCGGACTTCTTTTTTCGCGGACTCTTTTTATCACCTATTTATTTTTGAGTTCAAATAGACAGATCTGGAACGGATGCTCGAACCAAATATTTCCAGACTTTTTCAGTTCCTATCCGGAACCGTCAATCCCACACCTCTTACATTAGATTGACCTCAATTTACTATTAATATAAATTTTATTAAAATTTGGACTGGCGTTGGAGGAAGAGCTGCCTAACTTATACTCCTAATTTAAAATATCCTAATAATTCTTCCGACCCAAGGGTGTACTTTATAATGTGGTTCAATTTTTTAAAAGAAAACAATTTTTGATTTTTATAGAGCCCCAATCCCTAAAAGATCACACCGATAAAAAAACCATTCGATGATAACGCAGTCTAGCAGCTTCAGCTTTTCTCGCATTTTGTTCTTTAATTCTTTTATTAGCCTCCCCGCCCAAATTTCCACCACTTTTATCTTCATTTTTTACAGAAACTTGTTGTTTAATTCGTCTTTTCATATTATGAGATTTTCTTTCTTCATCAGTCATTCTAAAAATTTTTAAAAAAATTTTTTAAAGTAGAAATATCTTTTTAACCAACGACCTGTGATATCTATTACGAGCAGCCTCAGCCCATTTTGCACGCATTCTCTTTTCTCTAAGTTGTTCTAAAACTTCTGGATCGTCATAAATATCTCCACTAGCACGCAATATTGCTTCTAATTGAGCCATTTCCTTTTCTCGTTGTTTTTTTCTTTTTTGTGCTAATGTCCTTTTGAGGTTTAAAGCTTTTTTCTCGTCTGGTGTTAAACGGTGATAACTTTAAAAAATAAAAAGTAAATTAAAAAAAACAAATTGCAAACTTAAGGAAATTAAATTTCGGGTAAAATTCCGTCAAATGTCCCCTACCCCAAATCTTGTATGACTCTTCAGTTAGCCTAAGAAAAATATTAAATTTTTGTATATGAATTTACCTAAACTAGAAAATATTCCCAAAATAAATAGAAAAAAAACCGTAGACGAGCAGCTTCAGCCTGTCGAGCACGCTTAACGGCTTCCTTCTCACTTTTTTCATTCCTTTTATTATCTTCTGAAGTTCTCGCTACAAGTTCTTGTCGATTATCCAGAGATGTTGAGTGATGAATGGATGGGACAAACTTAAAAATTGAGTTTTGTGAGGGCTGATTCAATTAAACGATGAAATAAAACAACGAAATAATATGTGAGGGAAAAACTAAAATTGGAGGTGACATCCTTTTGTGTTCAAAAAACGGAAAATTTTTTAAGTAATTCAACCCCTATAATCTCTTATTCAAAAATTTTAAAATCAGAAAAAGAAGTACTAGAGTTCGAATCCGAGTCGAAACCAGGGTTTCCAATCGGAAAAGCTCGGGTCTTACAAGAAAAACTCGGTTCATGTTCTTCTCTAACAACCTCCCCCCCTATTTAAAATAAACTTTAGAATAATTACCACATGTCTCTCCCCATTTTCTGTTGTGAATTCCTGTACAATTCCATCAGTATTGCCTGAAGGATCATTTGCAATTGAATATGTGTAAATCTCGTGGCGGTTGTCTAAAGAAGTAGAATGTCCAATGGGTGGCACATACTAGAATATTTATAAGTTTTAAAGGACTTTCTAAAAAATACCTTAGTTTCGCAATTTGGACAAGCACAACCCGGAGGATGATAACCAACGCTTCCAATAGGAATACTTCTAAACTGGTTATCTCCAGAAACAACCACAACTTGATTTGTATTTCCTCTAACTTGAGGAGAATTACTTAACATTACTGGAGAAGAAGCAGCAGAAGTCCCAACAAGGCTAACTCTCGAATTTGGTGTTCGGTTGGAATAATAAAGGCGTTGAGAAATGTGCTCTGAAGTACTACTCATTTTTGAATTAAATAACTAAAATTAATAATTATTTTCATATTTAAAGCAATGAGAAAACAAATATAATTTAAATTTGTATTTGAACAACAGAAGAGTTAATAAGCCGCAAAAGAAAGGTTAATTAAAGAAGGAAACAAAGTGATAAAATATTAGAAATTCTGAAACGAGGATCAAGACTTGTAAGAATATCAAAACAAACACAATTTCACCCAAACTCAGAAAAAAGATGGGAAACATGGAAAGATATGAAGCAAAACAAATGGAAGCAGATGAAAATTGTCACCAACATCAGGATGTAAATGAATCCTCCAAAGATAACAAGATTTTCCCCAAAGTTAAAGGCCAAACACTACCTACACATGTTAAGCTTCGACTTGTCAACTCGAGCAATTTATTTGTTTTTATCAACTATCAATAAATACCTTAAAAATTCATCCAAAACTTTTTTTGTCCAAAATCTTTTCTAGATCAACTCTCAAAAGATCAGCTTACTGTATCTCATTTGTTTTTCATACCCTTGTAAATTATATTTTAATTCCCCTTTCCGAGATATACTCTAACCTCTCCTTATAAGAGAAGAAAAAAAAGGTTGGAGAACTTATATACAGGCTTATATTAGAGTTCATATAAAAATAGAGAAGTGGATCAAGGAAAGAGGAGAAAAGAGTATAAAATATACTAGAAAAGAATGCGAGGAGAAGGGAAAAACTACAAATCTCGAAGAAATTGTGTTGTTGAGAAAATGAAAAAAATGGGGGGAATAATGTAGAATTGTGTGGGGGAGAAATAAAAGAAATATAAAAATAGTGTTTTTGTAGCGTTTTTAGGGCTACCCTACAACTCATCCAATCCTTAACTCATCTAACACTTAACTCATCCACACGGCCAAAAACGCTCAACTCATCCAATCCTCAACTCATCTAATGCTTAACTCATCCACACGCCCAAAAACGCTCAACTCATCCAATCCTCAACTCATCTAATGCTTATCTCATCCACACCCCCAAAAACGCTCAACTCATCCAATCCTTGAAATATCGGCCGGTTGAGTCCCTAGCCGGTTGAGTCCCTGGTCAGTTGAGTCTCAACCGGCCCAAGACTCAACCGGCGGTAATCAACCACTCAAACGGCCGGGACTCAACTGACCAGGGACTTAACCGGCTAGAGACTCAACTGGTCATGGACTCAAACGGCCAGGGACTCAACTGGTCATGGACTCAAACGGCCAGGGACTCAACTTGTCATGGACTCAAACGGCCAGGGACTCAACTGGTCATGGACTCAAACGGCCAGGGACTCAACTGGTCATGGACTCAAACGGCCAGGGACTCAACTGGTCATGGACTCAAACGGCCAGGGACTCAACTTGTCATGGACTCAGACGGCCAGAGACTCAGACGGCCAGAGACTCAGACGGCCAGAGACTCAACTGGTCATGGACTCAGACGGCCAGAGACTCAGACGGCCAGAGACTCAACTGGTCATGGACTCAGACGGCCAGAGACTCAGACGGCCAGAGACTCAAACGGCCAGGGACTCAAACGACTGGTACTCAATAGTCTCGTTCCAAAGGATTGGATGAGTTGAGCGTTTTTGGCCGTGTAGATGAGTTAAGCATTAGATGAGTTGAGGATTGGATGAGTTGAGCGTTTTTGGCCGTGTGGATGAGTTAAGCATTAGATGAGTTGAGGATTGGATGAGTTAAGCGTTTTTGGCCGTGTGGATGAGTTAAGGAATTTTAGCCGTTTAGATGAGTTGAGCGATTTTGGGCGTGTGGATGAGTTAAGTATTAGATGAGTTGAGCGGGCACGGTTTTTAGAGGAGAAGATGGTGAATGAATGTGTGTGTATATTTTATTTTTATTTCTGAGCAGATTGGTTGGGTAAAAATGAATGTGAATGTGTGGGGAGACGATGAAAGTATTTTTTGAAAAGATGGGGAAGGAATGAAGAAGATGAAAGTTGAGGGGGAAAAAAAGAGGGAATATATTTGGGGAGGATTGTATACAATTGTGAAAATACTTATATTTGTTTAAATGTGGAAAGCAAAAGAAAATGTTAGTTTGTAGGGAAGGAAGGCTATTTTACACAACTAAAAAAGAAGTGGAGAGAAGGAAGGCAGGCAAAAATGAAAACCCGATGGAGAAGAGGAAGAAGAATGTAAATAATACACACATTCATTGCTAGTCCAAAATGGTTTCAGACAAAATGGTACATGGGCAAAATGGTAAAGAAACAAAATGGTTTTTAAGGCATCCGGGTATAACCCTAGTCGGGATGACTAAGAAATTAGAAAACCTAAAAGATACAGATAGAAATCCCGAAAAAATCTTCCAAAGAATCTTCAAAACTTACATAAAATAAGATCTGGAAGAAACCGGATCTGGAAGGAACCGTCTTGTCCAGTACCATTTTGTTAATATCACCATTTTGTCATGTACCATTTTGTCTGGTTAGTCAACACACATTGAGTTTTTAAGTTGGTTGCCTTGTGACGAAAGACAAGACAGAATAAATGGGCTGACTAGCAATGTATACATAAAACCTTACTGACACGACGACCAGAGAAGCTATATAGTATTGATTGTGTATAGCAATGCTAGAAAAAGGCGAAAAATTAAGTTGATTTGTAGAAGGAAAAGGGCAAGATGAATGTTGAGAAATGGATGGAGAAAAATCTTTTATTTATGGAAGGGGCTAAAAAAGAGAAAAAAATAGAAAAGAAACTATGTAAAGGAGAATAAACACAATAGAAAAATGAGAAAAGGTGAAAATTTATTGTTGCGCTATTAGGGAAATGAAGAAATATCCGAAGATATTTGAGAAAATCTATATAAAAGTAACAACTTTATCAGTTAATTTAACAAATATTTGTTCGAATATAAAGCCATGTTTGATCGATTCCTTTCCCTTCTGTTGAAGTCATTTTCCAACATTCTTCTTCAGATTGTAAGGGAAAGCGGCATAAAATCAGTCCTGCTCCATCCTTCATTTCCAGCAATTTTGGTCTAACTTGGGGGACCTTAAAAACAAAAAAATTTTCAAAATTAATTTTAGATTACAATAGTTTCAGTTCCAAACAGCACAATAACGTCATAATCTTCCAAACAAGTTTTGAAAATATCAGCTTTTACAAACTTCACTTTTTTAGTGCCTTCTCGAAAACTTTTCCAACGCGAATACAAAACCAATAAACTGTTTAATTCAACGCCTGTAGAATTAGTGTATCCAGCCTTTGCGAGTTGTAATACCTAAAAAAATAAATTTTGAAAATTAATTGAAAGAAAATACAAATAAATGGTTCAGATTTTGAGGTTATTTTTTCTTTTTTAAAAATTTTTTAAAAGAAATTTTTAAAGTCCAAACACAATAAAATTTATTAATATTTAATCGTCATTATAAAATACAAGCATATTTCTTGTTGGATAAAGTCAAGAGTTTTTATTTTTCTCAAATTTATTGGGTATTTTGATTAGAAAATTGACTTTATCCAAACAATTTTATTTAAAAAAGACTAGGAAAATTTTAAAAAATCATTGCAATTTTATAAAAAAATAAAGGAATGTATTGAAAAACTTGAAAAAATTCATTTAAAGCGTTTAAACAAAAACCGGTATAAATATAATACAGAAACGGATGATGAGACTCTGAAAAACTATTAAAAAATCAAAAGTCTAACTTATTAAATTCGAGAGATAATTACAAAAAAAATTTTGGAGGTGAAAATATAAATATACATGAGAGAGGGAATTATGAAAATACAAATTCTTGTATAATTTTCTTTTAAAAGACTATGTATAACCAAAAAAACATTTTATGGTAGAAACGATTTCGATC